CAGCACCTGGGAGTAACCTACCATTCACATTGTTCACTGCTCACATCCCTAATCTGAACTTCAATGATTAACTCACTCACTCAGCATACACAGGAGCCAAGTAAAGTCTAGCCAGAGCCAGACAATCTGCGACCTCGAATTAGGATATTTAAATATGCACATGGAAAAGGTACCGCACACGTTTGATTTTTACCTCTATATAGCCATATTTATATTCGTGTATCATAATTATGTTTTATTTGCAATATATAAGAGGGTGAGCACCACGTGCAATGCGTGTACCCGTCATTAGGGCATTATGCACGTTTCGGTAAACTGTTCTGACAGTTCGAATTAACTTTGAAAAATACATTGATTTCGTTGTTGACAAGCAAATATGGGGCCTCCTCAAATGCTAAACATCTGCTCAAAGAGAGTAAATTATTGGTATGCTGACATGTCAGTGAGGCTATGGTCGTTGTCATCCATCGATTATCAGCCGATTGGCCAGAAAAAATAGCAATGTATTGACGTTAAAGAGTAAAACTCCTAGGAAGGATACAGCGATATTCGAATATTTGACTTCATCTACCATGTCAAGTAGCGTGTTAAATGCAGATGATTCCAGATCATCGTTTGTCCCAAATCGCCTACAATCGACTGGGTATAGAGCCAGATGACCCATTAGACGTCCGTTGTTATCCACGGAGCAGCGAGAGAAGCACGACTAGCTTGATGTCAAGCTCAACGTCACTTGAATTTGAGGTTATGGGGAAAAACCCACTGATATGACGAAAGTCGATTTATTTTGCTCATTCCTCGGGGCTCATGTGTTCGGGGCTGCAGAAACAGTGTATGTTCCCAACGGAATATCAGTGTTTTATATCTTGTCTGAGAGGCCAATACGACGTGTTCAAAAGGCATCTCAGCCTCCAAATGGCACTGATGTCCAATGTTTGAAAAGCTTCCATTCTGTTTTGTATGCATAGAACATTAGCAAAGCCATATCCGAAATGCTACACATATGGGTAATGTTGTTATCGAGATATTAGTCATCACATCACATTGGGTTATAATATTTCTTTAAAAATGCAGAAAATGAAAACGATCTGTTATTTGGTACCTTTTGGATAATGGTATGCCCCTCAGATAATATCATATATAATATGAACAGTATAATAGTATTGATGACGTCCCGTCATAATCAACATTCAAATATTTGGATTGTTTTGATTTATATATTTGTGACGGGGGCTGTTTCTTAAAGACACCCCCATTTTTATCTTTCAAAACATTGTGTCCAGATATTCTAAGGTGGCACTGTCTACAATATATTGAGCTGACAATTTGGAGGACCATTCAGTGTTTCGTTTGAACCTTTGGCATCATGTATGAGTAAGTGAAACCATTAGAATAAGTTATGTCCTTATGATTACGTCATCTGAAAGGGGTGGGTGGGTAGTGCCTCCAAAGCCAGCTCTTTCAGTTAACACGAAGGGGAGTCACACTAACAAGCGATTGTAGGTTCAAATTGCGTTTTTATGCACTTCTTTAATATCTAAGTTTGATTCTAGCGGACTTCTGCCTATCTCCAGACATCGAAAATGTTCCTTTCTATGTTTTGTTTCCTGAGGTTTGTGATTTGTGAGATTTTGCGTTTTTGGGGGGCACCAAAATAATAAGTCAAACAATATGGGGATCGTGAGGCTGGAACTTAGCACAACAATTTTGCTTGAGGTTGACAGATAATATGTAGAAAAATATAGCATTAAAACAGATGTATTCGTATCATTTTCTAGGTGAGGCTGAATACTTTTTGAACGCTCCTCGTATGTATCACGTCCTTAATTGTAATGAATACATTTTGCCGAAACAATGGCACTTATAGCAAGCATTACAGAATTCCAAAATATTGGTTTCTTCTGGGTTTGGTATTAAATACATACAACAAGAAGACAAAGTCATCAATATCCCGAGCAATGGTAAAATACTCTTTTATGCATATGTCTTCTAGTTATCACTATGTCAAATGTTTTGGCGTGTATATAGCAAAGTGGAAGAACTACCCCAAATTCAGTCGAAGCCAAACCTGTTGCCATGGAAAGGTAAATATTAATCCAAAGCTACCAAAAGGCACCTGTTCAACACCAGACCTAACTATGTGCAAAGTTTGGTGAAGAAATAGTTAACGGTTTTAAAGTTCTGCTCCGGAAAAGACGATGTGCGCGGACGGACGGACGGACGGTGTCCATTGTTCCCCAGCAAAACGTTGCAGGATAACAAAAGATACCACATTAAGGAATAGAAGGTATAAAGTCTTTAAACTGTAGCAATTGTCACAATGAGGGCCGAGACAACTGGGTATCCAATACCAACGGTTGCTCTGATTTGTCTTACCACGTGCAAAAGTTGAGTCAAGGGTGAGCCGATTAGATAGGCAAATAAAGTTAGAAGGTTAGGGTGCGGGATCCAAAGCCTATATAGTGTATGACTTGTACGGACCTGTGTCCCTTGACTGAACATAGGAAGGTAAGGACATCTTTGTTTTTCAGAAGCCACAGAGATGGACTTCAACCCTTGCTCCAATGTGAACAATCGAACCAGGGCCTTCTTGCCTTCCGGAGTCCGGTTAATGGCGAAATGACCAAGGCAGACCGGAGATAAATCTAATGTACTCTCTTTTTACAAGAACTACATTGCACATTATGTTACTTCCCCATATTAGTTCCTCTGGCCGTAGAAACATTATTCAGCGTAAACATCGAACATGGCCAACATACTTATACCTGTAGACCTATAGCGTGCTTTGTCGGCAGAATTGTCCTTTATCCCTTGTCCTCGTACATGTTGATGTTGAAAGTGAGGTGTGTTTTCCTTTCAGTCACGATGAACGTGTTCCTCGTGGCGGCAGTCCTGGCGGTGGGGTCGGCGGTGGACGTCCCCCTCAACAACCACTGGAACGGAGGCTTCCAGGCAAAGGCCTGCATTGGTATCACAAAGGAACTGCACTCTTGGACTGCATATCTACGTTTTGACCAAGCCGTCGACAGCATTGACGTAATTAATTCGTTGCAAACGTAAATAGATTTCAAGTGACTATTTTACCTACATATTTATACACTTTTTTAATCGTATTCCCATATAAGCTATAACCAATCATACCACAGCAAGACGTGGGATGAAAGTGGGTCTCAAATGTTACCATGTGCACTGCAAGAGCTGACAAGTTCAGATCTCATCCAACTACTTTCCACAACGAAAGGATCATGACAAGATCTATACAGAGGGTCTCGATTCTCTTGTATCGTGCTACATAGTAACATATACATATTTTATTGTAAAACATATGATTGGGATGATCAGGTGAATGCTTTTGAAACTATCTGACGTCATTATGCATATTCCGGCTGATCAGAGAGATCTAGATCATTGTTATTCTCTACCTTTGTCCTTAAATGCCATGGATCCTGCGGCAAAGGCAGCTGCAGTTTGTCCAGCTACGTCACTTCCGGGTTTTGAAGGGGTGATCTTAAACGCGGGTCTGGCCATTTTCATGTCTTCCGGTCGGCCCCAGAAACTGTGGTCTGCCCCCTCCGTTTCCAACCTTCGATATACAGCAGACACTTGTAAACGCAATGTAGCGAAGAACAGATACGTTCTTTCATATTTGGCGTTTAAGAGTTCCATTTTGGTTGTGTGGAACTTGAGGAAGTAGTTGAGCGGCCATTGGGAGACTCATCTGTACATAGAGTTCTAGGAGACGCCCTGTACATAGAGATCCAGAGGACTCATCTGTACATAGAGTTCTAGGAGACTCCTCTGTACTGTAGTTCACAGGCCCGTGAGTTGAATTAGCCCCCCAGAAAAAAGGCGACTAACGTGATCGATTGGTCGTATCCTAATTACGTAGATCGATGCTCATGCTGTTGACCACTGGATTGTCTGGTCCAGACTCGATTATTTACATAAAGCAGAATATTGGTGAGTGCGGCCGTAAACAACAAACCAAATAGCAAGTTCTAAGGGACTTACCTGTACATAGAGTTCGTCTTTGGCTGTGTGACACTTAAGGAGGTAGTCGAGCGGCCACTTGATGCTGTCCAGCATGTTGTCGTACTGGCCGGACTCCACGTACGCCTCCTTCCACTGCAGCAGACTCCAGGTGAGGATGGTGGTGGACCACGACATGGGGAAGTTGAACTTGACGTGGTCACCAGCTAGGAAGACATGGACAGATTCACCAACCGTAACACTTCTGCTTAGTTAAAATTCAACAATCAGCAGCGGCAGGACAAGACCAAACATCCATTCCTTCCCCCTTTCCCTTGACACATTTGAGGTTGTCACCAGCTCAGAGCATGATGGTGTTGATATCACATGTTTAGGGACGCAATTTACTTGACAACATCTCAGCAACGCTCCCTTCAACAATCGTTGACGTCATTATGCGATTTCATCTGATGGCCTTATTTATAAGATACTGACAAATTGCACGATGTACAGTTCAGTGGAGATACCGCCTAAGCGACAAGATAACCTGGATGTGAATTCGTCTTGATAGAAAGAGACACATGGATTGTAAAGTGGCAATAGAACTTCGTACCATCCTACCATCCTCCAGTGAGGTCCTCCCCATTATCTCCCTTGTCTCCTAGGGCGGAGTCTCCTCTCCAGGGGATGGGGTTGTTGGCCGCAAGTCTGCCTGACCTCTGAGCGCCATAGAAGAGAATGGACTTGTAGAGGACTTCGTCGTAGTTGTACTTGGTGCCCCCGGCTGTTTATAGGATAGGTAAGCTGTTAAACATGTGTTTACTTGTGAAAACAGGAATCTGTAGATCACCTGCAATTAAATAATAATTTGCATAACTGACATATTTGTTTGAGATTTGCCTATTCTTACTTCTATATATTTACTTCCTTGGCACTATTGCTGGATTGTCATATAGGTTCACTTATAAACATGCCTCCCTTCTTAAACATTCATGGGTTATGTGAGAAGGCACTTGCTGTTTTTGACATTAGGGAATCCATTGTCGTCGTGGCCGAGGTTGGTGAGTGTAGCAACAGCAGATGGGGCGGACGACGCCTGTGTGTTGCCGAAGAAGCGGAGTTTGATGGTGTCCCCTTTGTCAAAGAAGACATGATCCTGCTTGTTGATGACCACCCAGGTTTTACCATCGGCAGACTTTTTGTATACATCGGCTACCCACATCTGTATATCGTACACATGAGTTAAAAGAAATACGTTGGCTATAACATTGACTTTCACCCAATAAAGTCATCATCATCATCATCATCATCATCATCATCATCATCATCGCTACTCAATCATTCTTTTGATATCATTATCACTACTTAATCTTTCAATAATATAATCCCCATGAAGAATGATTATAACAGACAGTTGGGGAGAACATGCATCTTCATGTTACATCGTGGGTAGAAATTTACAATGAAAGAGAACCCATACACATGTTGTTACACTACGAAACTCTATACGGTTATTGTATCCACAAACGTACATCCAGTTTGTCCACAGGCTCTGAAAAGTTGATGGCTACTTCCCACCCCTCTATCCTCTGGTGGACAGGAAAACTAAACTCGGCTTCGAATCTGTTACCCCAGTCGTTGTAACTTCCTCACCGTCACCAATACCGGTGCCTTATAACAGCATGCATGTATTTTGAAAGATATATTTTCTTGACAATGTTCAAAGTCTCACACATTTCAGAACATAATTATAACGACTGCTATTCTGTGTTAGCATAGTATGGAAGTAACATAGTTAAACACCACAAATCCTATCAAAGTTATGAAATGGTTATTTCATAAGAGACATTTTAATTCGAATACTGTGGATTGGGTGGCTGGTTGTGACTTGCTGGTATGTCAACCTCCTCTGTCAATGGATCTGAACTACAAGTCTTACTTCAGGTTAAGCTACACGACACCAATGAAGCCCATTTCTGGTGTCCCCTGCCGTGATATTGCTAAAACATTGCTAAAAGCGGCGTAAACGTAATCTCACTCACTCACTCACTCTACGCGACAACAGCTACATATAGATGGAGGCAGATATTGAAGACTGATTATTTCCCTGAACTTCGGGAGACATTGTTTGATACCTGATGTCACAAAAGGAGCTGACGTGGCACCGACGCCGGACGTTGCACCGATGCCGGGTGTCTGCCCACTACTTCCTGGAAGTAGGGAGTTTTGTGGTCCAGCCGTAGGCGGCTGATTAGTAGGACCGTCCATACCGGCGATGTAGACTGTGGCGGAAGGGATAATATTGCCATCCGTTTTTCCCAGAAGGTTGATACAGATCTGGGAGCCAACATGTTCTTCTTTGTTCCAGTCTTTGTTGTGCATGATGAACTCTGTGTTGTTGTTTCTGGTCTCCACAATTTCAGCAGCTTGTTGCACCTTCAGATATATATATATAGCATCGCTAGTCCGGATAATCATTGTGGGTAGGATATCAACATAGCAAAATGTCACCCCGACGTGACCTTGACATGTTATTATAGGTATTAATGTTTTTTTATAGTTTATAGTTTTAGTAGTTTATATCACAACTAATCTGTCTGAAAATAATTTCACCAGGACCAGACGATCCAGTGGCTGACTTCGATCACCACAACTGGGGTACGATGACACACATCCAGCGAGCACGGTGTCCCGATCCTGTTAACCGTCTCTTACTACAAGCATGGGTCCAAGCCTGTGCATTTTTACTTGAAACGCTACTGTCCAAAATACCATATTTCCTCTAGGTACCTAGACGCTTCTAATCATATCCACATGACTATTTCACCCTAAAGTCACCACAGTAATCAATAGCACCAACATGTTTTGCGTCCGTACTTGTGGAGCGCAATAATAACTGGTCAGTGTATATTAGACGTTGAACGAGCCTTGTTTATGGTGTAAATTGATAATACGTACATCAAGTGACTTGATTGACTGGTCAAAGATGACATGGGCTGACCATCCGTGCAGGTCTTCCGTGACAGGGATACAAAACTGACCATTAAACCCTCCTTCCCAATGTCCAGTTATCTTAACCTCTGATTCGGCGTGCCCATTCGCCAGCAGCAGCAGTAGCAGCAACAGTCTCATCGTGGAGTTGAATGTTCTGATGACCTGTATGTAACCATATACTGTGACACATGTGACATATAGCTGCTTCACATCATAGTGGTGATGCAAATTTTATTCCACCTCTGACAGGTTCGTATATTCAGAAAATGTCTTTATTTTTCATATGTAGTATAAGTATTTCTTCCTTAAGTGGCATTTAGAAGCTGGTATGATGAAGTGAGACACTTTTATGGATAGACAACTTCTTTGTTGCAGTAGTAGTTGCGACGTTTCGGTGTAGATCCTAACACCGTTATCAAGCAAATGATCATCATGTAGATCCTAACACCGTTATCAAGCAAATGGTCATCATGTAGATCCTAACACCGTTATTAAGCAAATGATCATCATGTAGATCCTAACACCGTTATCAAGCAAATGATCATCATATAGATCCTAACACCGTTATCAAGCAAATGATCTTCATGTAGATCCTAACACCGTTATCAAGCAAATGATCTTAATGTAGATTCTTGCAGTTATCAAGCAAATGATCTTCATGTAGATCCTAACACCGTTATGAAGCAAATGATCTTCATGCAAATCCTAACACCGTTATGAAGCAAATGATCTTCATGCAGATCCTTACACCGTTATCAAGCAAATGATCTTCCGAAACGTCGCAGCTAGTGGATATCTACTGCAACAAAGAGGTTGTCTATCCATAAAAAGAGTTCCACTTTAGTATAAGTATAACGGTTAAAAAATTATTGTCCTGTTTCATAACACGGATAGTTGTTTCATGACAAGCATATGGGTCCTACCTGGCTCAGCGGTTCTCGTGACTGTCTGTCTGTGTTGTCAGTTGTTATCTCTTTAGCTAAATAATCTTTGATTTCAAAGACTTATGTCAACAAATTAAAGAAACAAGATCAAATAACGTTGTATTTTACAAACACAATCTGACCTCAATGAATTGTAACATGACACTAATTTGAACTGCGTACTTGCGAAAATCAACTCATTTACACACAGGATTGTAACGCAAGAAATCTGGCATCAAGGTATAAACTTCTACTGACGGGGTCTTAACGGTATATAAAAGGAAATGGGTGTAACGAGGCCAATATAACAAGTTCGTTTCAGGGTGAATTCAACAATGCTCAGTGTATATATCCACTTAAAACCTGTATGCGTTTCAAGCCACCCGAGTCACCAACAAAATGAGATATAGATCACAAAAATCGAAGACGTACTTTGGGAGCTAGGATCTTCGAAAGCTCGAAACATCGTTATTTCATCCTATACACTAATAACTTATGCTATATTTGGGATTACAGTTTCTTAGTAAAGTACAAATTCTAGTACTTTTTGGGTTGCGTCCCATCCGGGATTCGAACCCACACCCTCAGAGTTATAGCTATACACTAACGATACGCCCCAAGACATGCTGAATTGATGGCACCTGTCAGCGCACTAATCTCCATTCTTTCGGGGACACATACACCTAAGTGTCATAAAGAATTTACACCCATTTATTCATCGCTAGCGGGCCTGTGTATTGCCCGTGCATTGTCACATCACCTTGGCCTTGACCTGCCCAGCACTGACAAGAGGCCGCGATCTGACTGGCTATACATTAAACATGTCCAATAAGATCGCTGGTAGAAGTATCCTATTAAAAAAAATCTGATCTTTCCATACCGGTTAATCTGTCATGGCACGAGGGATTAACTTCAATAACAAGAAATTATCAGGTGATCATTAATTTGTTGTAGTATCACTGAAATTTAACTTATTGTTTTAGTTACAGCAAAATCAGCAAAAGCGCTATATTGTCACTGACTTATCGGGCTTCGATTTGCTGTCACAAGATTGTATTGACCAAACATGACTGGGTAAAGGGCCACCGTCGCAGGAATAACGCTGGGTTCATGAAACACCACACGAGATTGAAATGACGATTCTCTGTCCGATATAGTCCAATAATAGTCAAACAGCCAGTTGTAAATCCACTGATTTACCCGTGAATACGGAATTCCTTGAGGAGAAATGGACTGTCTCAAGTATGCCCATATATGGTATTTTTGGTAAACAATCGACTGTTCGACCTGAGGAGCGGGTGAACAAATGACCTGGGGGTCGGAAATAGCTGTATACAAACGTACCTCCCTTAGGCGCGTCACAACCATTTGTTCGCGGGTTCAGATATTAGCTTCACGCTGATGTCAATTCTTGTGTTGTTTTTCTAGTGGACGATGTTCCTTTAGCGCCAATCTTTTGTGTCCACATTTTATAATATGTTTTAGGTTCAATCAAACATTCTCTGTCTACGAAGATATCATAGACGTCTACTCTCTAGATGGAAATGTGTTGGAAGATGTAGGAGATCCAGTATATTGTTATCATCCATAGCCAATTGTCGTTCTCAGCTCCTTGGGGAGTATACGACCCAGCCTAATGTTTCGGCGCTAGAAAGTGAACATATCTCATTATACCGGGTACCCGTTCACTTGTTAAAGTAGACACATGTGCTTCATGCTTCCAAGGAACTCTCAGGAATCAAGCAGCCGAAGGTAGTCCCCAATTCAACTATTCTCTGTGACAAAGGTTTCTTTATTTCACCTGATTTCTTACTCATCCACAGGTTCACATGCAACAACTTTGCCGCAGTTTTCATTTTGAAGACGCTTAAATACTATATTTTGTCTCAGTATAATACGTTTAAAGGTTTCTATTTTAAGTGCGTGTATCATTACTATTGGTGTATGTAAAGTAGGTTGCAAGATAAGACGGGTGATAGGTAACTATTTTAGGCGAGGCTGGACGACTACAGTGTCTTTTGTAGCCTTACCACAGTCAAGGAGTCAAGAGGTAAGCCTACGTATGTATTGTACGTCGCTCAAACAGCCAGGTTTTCGTTACTTTATCCTGATGTCTAAATTATACATTCCTGAAGATATTTCAAGAATATATCTGTATACATTTTCATATTTGTGAAGTAGAATTGGTTTATTGATCGTTGTACGTTTGTAAAACGAGCAGCCATTTTAATGGGTTTTTTTGCTTGTCGACAAACAACAAGTGATAATCTTACCTGCATGTGATTGACATGACCATTCAGGATTAACATCCACGTTACCCTTCAAGGCCACCCGTCTATGGAGATAAGGCTGAGATGTGGGTCAACTTGACAATGAAGAAATGTGTGAGCGTTGATTTTAAATCGCAGAAAAAAAATTAAAACGTGTGCAACATATTCTAACATCATATCACGCCATTGCTTTATAGGATAGACCTATTTTGGATGTACATTGATACAGACTGCAGATTATATAGCAAAGGCTTTCCAAGAAGTTAAATCACTGCATGTTTGTGATGCGCGAGTTAAGCGGAAGGTTGTTAAACCCCGTACGATATGTTTTCTTACTGATAATTACTCTATGATCTGTTTCAATTGCTGTGAGATTGCTGGCATATTTGCTATATTCACTCGCGCACACTGTTTCAAATTCGCAAAGGAAAATCCTGGTGATGACAGCATGCGTTATCAAGCGTTTCGTGAGAGTGAATCATGTGTTTTCCTAACATTCATTTAGTTGTGGAACATTCCTTCCACGTAGAGCGCAGAGTGGCTCATATCTGTATTAATATGGGTTCTTAAGTTGGTGTTACATATGTTACAAAGTCCACTACCAACTGAACACGAACCTTGTGAAGATCCGGGTTACACCTGGTCTTCAGCAAACTACACTGGGCCCCGTTCCTGAAAGCAATTGTAGCGCTACGACTATCGTAAGTCTATGTTAAAGTATAGGAGTTACGATCAACTTAGCGCTACGATTGCTTTGAGGAACGGGACCCTGGTCGTAAGAGACGACTAAACATTTAGCGGTTCAAGGTGGTCGTCACGCCCTCTGACTTGGTAGATCGATTCTCAACTACATGGACATGCGTCTGTGGTTGTTCATTTAAGCAATAACCTTGCCTTTGCCAAGAATTTGTCGGTTCCCCTTTCGGCGAAGGCCTGGTATAAATGTTTTTAACATATTGACACATAAACAAGGGTTTATGAATATGAATCGTTCCATGGCCTCTTTTATCGCTTAACGGAAGAAGACTTTGTCGGTCTTGTTGTAATATCATTGCAATTTATCTAGATACTATTGGTATTTTCTGCTCTTATCAGACATCATGCTGGTGTTGGTATTGGCGGCTCTAGCGGCTGCGGCCTCGGCGGCGGACGTCACCATCGGTAACCATTGGAACGGCGGGTTCCAGGCGAAGGCCTGCGTCCCCATCACCACTGAGCTTCACAGCTGGAAGGCTCACTTGAAGTTCTCTGAGGCTGTGGACACCGTAGAAGTGAGGATATAGTGTTGATCTTTAATAGCCATCGATTGAATGGGTCATACATATGGACCCTGCTTGTAGCAAATATGTCTCTTCAGGCTTCAAACTTCAAGTGTATGGAGTGGATGTTAATAAAACAGAGGCAATGTTTTTTCTTTAAATAAATAGAAATCTAGATATATTATGTTATTCCATATTCATGACAGATTCTATCACTGTTCCGATCCAACTTACTGCAGCAAATGTTTTTTCAATATTTCTTACCTATTTTTACACAACCAGAACGAGTAATGATCTAAATTTATGTAAAATTTGCTTGCCCATCTTGTGCTAAGAAGGTAAGGGTAATCGGACGAGCGATATGATCATGGTCCCAATCCGTGCTCGGGCCCGCTGGTAGTCGGGTCGAACTCAAGATTCACCAAAATCGAGGGCTTGTTTCTGATTGCTCCGTGGTATTACTACTCAACATGCACCTGTAACCATTACAGTGTAGGAGCCCAGTCTGTTCAGTAACGTCGGTCGCGTAAAACTCTATACTGAAACCTTGTTGACAGGTCGGTACAGCCGATGTCCAGAAGTTGAGTGGCGGAAAGGAATTCGTCCTGACGAACAAGCAGTGGAACGCAGATGAACACGCTGGTGACACACTGTGTCTGGACATTGTCGGCCACACCACTGGTGACATCAACCCTAAAACAACCATCACTATAGAGGGCAATGTGGCTGGAGCTACTCAGGCACCTCCGAAGGTGGTTCACACAGGTGCGTTCTGTAGTTTGTGATTGCACACAGGTGCGTTCTGTAGTTTGTGATTGCACACAGGTGCATTCTGTTGTTTGTGATTGCACACAGGTGCGTTCTGTTGTTTGTGATTGCACACAGGTGCGTTCTGTAGTTTGTGATTGCACACAGGTGCGTTCTGTAGTTTGTGATTGCACACAGGTGCGTTCTGTTGTTTGTGATTGCACACAGGTGCATTCTGTTGTTTGTGATTGCACACAGGTGCGTTCTGTTGTTTGTGATTGCACACAGGTGCGTTCTGTAGTTTGTGATTGCACACAGGTGCATTCTGTTGTTTGTGATTGCACACAGGTGCGTTCTGTTGTTTGTGATTGCACACAGGTGCGTTCTGTAGTTTGTGATTGCACACACTGGGTGCGTTCTGTAGTTTGTGATTGCACACGGGTGCGTTCTGTTGTTTGTGATTGCACACAGGTGCGTTCTGTAGTTTGTGATTGCACACAGGTGCGTTCTGTAGTTTGTGATTGCACACAGGTGAGTTCTGTTGTTTGTGATTGCACACAGGTGGGTTCTGTAGTTTGTGATTGCACACAGGTGGGTTCTGTTGTTTGTGATTGCACACAGGTGCATTCTGTTGTTTGTGATTGCACACAGGTGGGTTCTGTAGTTTGTGATTGCACACAGGTGGGTTCTGTTGTTTGTGATTGCACACAGGTGCGTTCTGTAGTTTGTGATTGCACACAGGTGGGTTCTGTTGTTTGTGATTGCACACAGGTGCGTTCTGTTGTTTGTGATTGCACACAGGTGCGTTCTGTTGTTTGTGATTGCACACAGGTGCGTTCTGTTGTTTGTGATTGCACACAGGTGCGTTCTGTTGTTTGTGATTGTACACAGGTGCGTTCTGTTGTTTGTGATTGCACACAGGTGCGTTCTGTTCTTTGATGTTTGCACATAGCTGCGTTTTGTTGTTTGTGATTGCACACAGGTGCGTTTTGTTGTTTGTGATTGCACACAGGTGCGTTCTGTTGTTTGTGATTGCACACATGTGCGTTTTGTTGTTTGATGTTTGCACACAGGTGCGTTTTGTTGTTTGTGATTGCACACAGGTGCATTCTGTTGTTTGTGATTGCACACAGGTGGGTTCTGTAGTTTGTGATTGCACACAGGTGGGTTCTGTTGTTTGTGATTGCACACAGGTGCGTTCTGTAGTTTGTGATTGCACACAGGTGGGTTCTGTTGTTTGTGATTGCACACAGGTGCGTTCTGTTGTTTGTGATTGCACACAGGTGCGTTCTGTTGTTTGTGATTGTACACAGGTGCGTTCTGTTGTTTGTGATTGCACACAGGTGCGTTCTGTTCTTTGATGTTTGCACATAGCTGCGTTTTGTTGTTTGTGATTGCACACAGGTGCGTTTTGTTGTTTGTGATTGCACACAGGTGCGTTCTGTTGTTTGTGATTGCACACATGTGCGTTTTGTTGTTTGATGTTTGCACACAGGTGCGTTTTGTTGTTTGTGATTGCACACAGGTGCGTTCTGTTGTTTGTGATTGCACACAGGTGGGTTCTGTTGTTTGTGATTGCACACAGGTGCATTCTGTTGTTTGTGATTGCACACAGGTGCGTTCTGTTGTATGTGATTGCACACAGGTGCGTTTTGTTGTTTATGATTGCACACAGGTGCGTTTTGTTGTTTGATGTTTGCACACAGGTGCGTTCTGTTGTTTGTGATTGCACACAGGTGCGTTCTGTTGTTTGTGATTGCACACAGGTGCGTTTTGTTGTTTGTGATTGCACACAGGTGCGTTCTGTTGTTTGTGATTGCACACAGGTGCGTTTTGTTGTTTGTGATTGCACACAGGTGCGTTCTGTTGTTTGTGATTGCACACAGGTGCGTTCTGTTGTTTGTGATTGCACACAGGTGCGTTCTGTTGTTTGTGATTGCACACAGGTGCGTTCTGTTGTTTGTGATTGCACACAGGTGCGTTCTGTTGTTTGTGATTGTACACAGGTGCGTTCTGTTGTTTGTGATTGCACACAGGTGCGTTCTGTTGTTTGTGATTGCACACAGGTGCATTCTGTTGTTTGTGATTGCACACAGGTGCGTTCTGTTGTTTGTGATTGCACACAGGTGCGTTCTGTTTATGGTTGCAACAGTATTATATAGCTGTACACATATCCACCAGTGGGATTGGTCGAGTATGTTACCATGTTTGTTAATTAACTTTGTTGTTGAAGGTGGTACTTAACGATCCCAGCTGTATGGCAGTAGCCCAAACATCCTGGATAACAGATAATCCAGAGACCTGCTTCGGTTTCTCAGCGAGTCTGACAAACGTATTCATTTGGCCGCCAGACAGTTCTTGAAACACAGGCTCGTCGAGGATAAGCCGCTGGTTCGTCAAAGGGATGCAACTCTGCATATCAAATTGTGACGATGGAAGATTAAAGAATAACCTATATCCGAAATGATATGGAGATGCACAAGTAATGTGTACGGTATATTCCGTGTTGCAGGAGGCGGTACAGCAAGATACAACTATGGCGAGGCTCTTGGCAAGTCCATCCTGTTCTATGACGCTCAGAGATCCGGCAAACTTCCGGCCAACAACCCCATCAAGTGGCGAGGTGACTCCGCCCTGGGAGACAAGGGAGATAATGGGGAGGATCTGACCGGAGGCTGGTATGATGGTCAGTAGTCGGTTCCCTGGACACTATTTGGTTATATTTAGAACCCATAAACACTTTCGAAATTGCCATTGGGAAAAAATGTGTACATTATTGTTAAAATTGTGAAATATGCCACATCCATGTCACAGAGCAATCTTAAACACGATGGTCAGATGTAACAGATAATTCGTTACCACCCACAAAATATTGTTGTGTATACCCCATTTACAATTTACAGTGATGATGTTAATTCAGCGTATTGATGCACACCGTTTCAAATTGTCAATAAATCATTGTCTAAGTCCCAATTACGACAAGCATAGCTAAATGTGAGTGGAAAAGTTGACACCAGAAGTAAGTTTACATTCATATATTGTACTGGTCCATTGATCTTGGCCTCGAGTGACGAGCGAACGTTTCAACCAAAGTGCTATGCTCTTGTGCTAAAAAGCATTGTGATGAAAATCTGAGTATAATGACCAAATGTGTACTATAATACATAATTAAAACCGCATATTCCCAAACGTATCATTGTTCTTTAACACGGGAACCCCGTTGCCTATCTTTGCTATGAACTACTGACTTTCTCTCCAGCTGGTGATCACGTCAAGTTCAGCTTGCCCATGTCCAGCTCCTCCACCCTCCTGCTGTGGGGCTACTTACAGTGGAAAGATGCCTATGCCACAACGAAACAAACAGACAAATTCTTTGACATGATCAAGTGGCCCTTGGACTACTACTTGAAGTGCTGGATTCCAGCTAGTCAGACGCTGTATGCACAGGTGAGATGTCGTTTTGGTATGTTTTCCAGGAAATGATTTGAGTGAATGTTAGTTCCCTACATCTATGGTCAGGATCATATTCCTTGTAGAAAGAAAGTAATGTTACGATTTTGCCTTTTATGCCTAATGGTATGTGTTGCGCAAATAATCGAGACGTTTGGAACAGAATTTGGAATTGTTAATCACCGTATCCATTCATGTTTTCAAACATAGCTTCTGATTTCCTCAAGGTTGGAGAAGGCAATGACGACCACCACTTCTGGGGCCGTGCTGAGGACATGAAGATGGCCAGACCCGCCTACAAACTCACACCAAGCAAACCTGGATCAGATGTTGCTGGAGAGATTGCTGCCTCCCTAGCTGCTGGGTATATGGCATTCAAGGAAAGAGGTGAAAATAGCAAAGTCGACAGGCGAAAGAATGTAGTTGTCAGTAGCAGTTTTTATGACATGACCAAATGTGAAACATACATAATTGCGAGTGGCGGATAAACGATTGGAGAAATCTCACTTTGAAAACCCAATCAAAAATAATAGCGACCACACACATTTCTAGAATCATAAGGAAATGCACATGACACTAATACAAATAGGAAATTTCATCTCACCTCATTTTTGTTACTGATGAGCGAGATTCGTTTTATGCTGAGACATAAAAGAAGAAGGTGAATTGTACTGGAAAGTCTGTAAAGTGTAGGGTGTATAACAAAGGGTGTATCTGCTGGAACGTTTACAATTAGAAAGATGAAGAAATACCTCTTGTTGGGGAGAGTTAGTCGAACATCTACAAGGTTATTCAACATTATTCATGTTTTGCGGCCCTAGTCGTAGTAACGTTGATCAGGCCATGACCTTGGATATCTCGTTCTACATTAAAGCCATTACTTTTACATTCACATTGCAGCAGCATTTGTTGTGAAAATTTCAAACCACTGTAGACATATGGACCCCGGAGTTATAATCAGTCAACCCTTGTGTGTATATTTTATGCTGACAAAATATTTCCCATGCCAGATAAGGCCTATGCCACCAAACTTCTGACTGCATCAAAGCAGATATATGAGTTCGGAAAGAAGTATCCTGGAAAGTACAGCCAGAGTATCTCGGATGCCGGCCAGTTCTACTCGTACGTATGTCCATTGTCAGGTGTAAATCTGTTCATATGTCAATTCCAACATACATCTCTAATCATATGTACATATTTCTAGGCAGCTTCGTGATAAAGTCACACATGCACATTGTTTGGTCTAAACGTGACAGTTCTGGAAAGAAATATTCAAGAAATTACTGCCATGATCGTCATAAAGTATACCGTCGTGATGATGCCACATGTCAGAGGTGAGAAACATGACTCAGCCATTTATGTCTTGATCCAGATCCAGCGGATTCAAGGACGAGATGTGTGAGGGCGCCATGTGGCTGTACAAAGCAACAGGTGACAAGTCCTACCTGGCCGATGCCAAGGGATACCACGAGAATGCCTGGGCGTGGGCTCTAGGATGGGACGATAAGAAAATAGCTTGCCAGGTGAACAGCTCTTTTCCCTGTTGAAGTTATAGGGCACTAAAGCAGGCCAGTTATGTTAAATGTAAATATGTCAGAGCCTACTTTCATTGTCAGCCGACCTTTACTCGTGAGGCATGGAAGTATATGGATACCTAAAATACGCAAGGTGATATCTTACATACATTTAGCATATATTAAATGCTACATCTGGGTGTATATGCTAACACCGTTATCAAGCAAGTGATGATAACGACGTTGCATCTACACCGAAACGTTGCATCCATTGCTATAAAGAAGTTGTCTGTCCATAAAGTCGTCCCCGTTCATCATACCAGCTTCTAAATGTCACTCAAAGAACTACATATATTGCCGACATATTCAAATTACGAATTAGTTCAAAATCATTACTATTTCTTACACAAATACTTTAAAAAAATCAGTGTTGACATCTTTTGCTTTGTAGAATTTTGAAAAAGTATTGAATGAAGTACTATGGCTTGTTGGAAATATTTAATGTGACGGCAGGTAACGGAATTTCACTCAGTTGTTTTTGTTTCATCCATGCTAACACGTGTATCTGCATTCAGCTGATGTTGTACGAGGCTACAAAAGACACGGCCTACAAGGACGAAGTGGAGGGTTTCTTCAAGGGCTGGCTCCCTGGTGGCTCCATCACCTACACTCCATGTGGACAGGCGTGGAGGGACCAGTGGGGATCCAACAGATATGCAGGTCAGATGTTACATATTACGGCGTTTTTCTCTTAAAACAAACAAGGGATATCATAAAATAAAGGGCAATCCTTTTTGACAGATCTTTTAGTAACTATTGTAAATCATACTTTTCGGTAAATTTGTCGTTTTACCAAAAAATGCATTTGACAACAAATATTTATGATAAGCGACATACTAAAGTACTTTAGTTTTGGTGTAAAAAGTCTACCCCGTTTATCACTGCGCTAGCACTCAAGCTATGAGTGCCGTTTTTGGCCCTATTATCACTTTTACACCCAGTGGAATTTGACCTTGCACATAACCATAACTGACAATATCCGTTCATAGTTGCATTAAAGTTGTATCCCAACCAAACGTGTTTGTAGTAAAACAAAGTAACTACCAGGTATAGTTGAAGGTCTCTTTGGTTGTACTAGACAGGAAGATGGACAATGAAATATTTTGTGACAAACTATCTCTTTGACAGTGTCTAACGCTTGTCTCTGCTGTTAAGAGGAACGTCCAAATGCAAGTCGTTATAGTTGATCATTTAAACATGAAATCACCAAATACATTGCTGTTCACTGATATATGACGGTAAACTGTTCATCGACAGTACATAATATGATAATTGAGTAATATCAGCACCTTTCTATGCTCTCAGGTGATGCAGCATTCGCCGCTCTGGTGGCTGCTGATGCTGGTCTTGACACTGCAACCTACAGGAAGTGGGCAGTTGGGCAGATCAACTACATCCTCGGCGACAACAACTACGGTATCAGTTACCAGATCGGCTTCGGCTCCAAATACCCGAGGAGTCCTCATCACAGATCCGCGTACGTTCTTTCACCTCAAGACATGCTGGCAGTAGTATCATTTTGAACATTTCTGAACACATCATTGTGAATAATAATTGATGAGACAATTATGTTTGTTTGTTGCACACCCACAGGAAGAATCGTGTGTATAGTTCCTGAAACTTACCATTGACCTTCTTCTCACACTCTCGATGGAACACCATCGTTGTATGAAGGAAATTATCTTCTTGCAAGATGAACAATACACAATGGCTACAACTGGACAAGACTATGAAGAAAAAACTACTTAATTAAATATCCAATTAAAAAATTATGATTGTCCAATCATCACATTCGTATTCAAAACAATATTGTATGTCACAAAATCTTCATGGACTCAAAGCTGTCATTCGACAATAACCATTACACGACGATCTTCACTCCAGTTCCTGCCCCGACCGTCCAGCTCCCTGCACAGAGGCCAACCTACACTCTTCCGGTCCTAGCCCCCAGCTCCTTGTGGGCGCCATAGTGGGAGGCCCTGGTAAAGATGACTCCTACAAGGACAACAGGGAGGACTACGTCCACAACGAGGTGGCCTGCGACTACAACTCAGGCTTCCAGTCTGCTCTGGCTGGTAAGTATGTCGACTCAGGTGTGAGGTGCAACCGGAATTGAAGGAAATCGAAAAGTTCATACAAAGATTAAGATTTTTTAATCTTGGTAATTTATTACAATTTCTGTAATAGATCGTGATTATTAGATTCAATCATTTAGGTTAATTATGTTTTTACCTAACACAAATATTTTACTTCAGGTCTCACTCATCTTGTCAACACCAAGGAGCTGCCAGCCATTCCCGCACCAAAGTGTCATGGTTAAAAATATTATTCTTTGAATAAAAAATAGTCATTGTATTGTCCATGTACTGTTGTTAAGTTAACGTCGGATGGTATAAATTTGAAAAAAATAATGACGTAAAGGCATAAAAGATCACATAAAAGCTTATTTCATAGATTCTGGTAAACATTGCTATTGTACCTGCGAGTTATGTTTGCTTTATGTCTTGTATCTGTTTGTTTGTTAGTTGTTTTACGCCGCACTCAGCAATATTCTAGTTTTATGGCAATAATCGAGCCTGGACCAGACAATCCAGAGATCAACAACATGAGTCAACATATGTTATATTTGGGATTACACTTTCTCAGTAAAGTACAGATTCTAGTACTTTTAGGGGGTTGAGTTTAGGCATCTGTCTTTGTGTGCTGTCGATTAGGTGCCTGACTCTGAGGGTGTGGGTTCGAATCCCGGATGGGTACCAATCTGTACTTTACTGAGAAAGTGTAATCCCTTCTAAAATGGCATTGTGTATTTCACAACATGAGTCAACCAAATCAGTGAGGTTGACCAATCGATCCCTTTTGTTGCCTCTTACGACAGGTGTGGGTTGCTGAAAACAATGCGGAAATCGAGTTTTCTATGAATCCCTAATTTGTCAACACATATACTGATAGAGAAACGTTAATAAACTGATACACTTTCAATTCAAAACAATTTTACACATAAAAAAACACACTTGTACTAGTTCAGTGCATAATTTTGAATTGCAGAATCGGAAAATCCATTCCATTTCGGTAGCAACCATTAGCTTTTACTGGAATTTATCGAAAAGCCGACTGGTTTCTGAGAATCGGTTCGAAAGGCGTCTTCAGTAACAGGAACGCGAGTGGTGAGCGCTGAGCGTACATGTTCTACCGTCTTTTTAATCACTGTGCGAACCCACGCGTGCATATATACGCTGGCCCCGCAGTGGCACTATATAGGACCATGTTTCCTCCGTCCACTCGTACTTCATTTCCAGACAATAGCTGAGCAATAGCGCTTACATACATGAGTTACATAGCGCTGAGGTGTATTACTATTTCAGTAAGGGAATCCCGACGTGTCACAGGTCACCTAATTCAAAATGGCGCCGCTCACATGCGAGAGATCGACTTAGATGTTTCATGGCTTGCAAATATGGCTATTTTGATAACGAAAATAGTGCACATTTGTAGGTTTAAGTACAAAGAAGTGATACATATAAGTTTTTCATGCGTAATAATCGTAACGGGTGCGGGAAAGTGTGACAAAAGATATCCCCTATTGCGGTCTATAGAGGTGCTTCATAGCATATGTGAGCGCTATGTATCTTAGCTAAGACATGGGTTGACAAGACCTTTGATGTGAAATGGTATATACTGGAGACGAGAGTAACGTATAAATAATTTACGATGCGAGTACCGATCTCCGACAGAGGTATGGTAACCGTGATGCTCTTGAAATCAGCTTCACACGCACGCACGCGCACACACACATCATCTCACGTCCATCTCATTAAAGTTCTCAGGTGCCTTCAAGGTTTGGTTTTAAAAGGCTGTTCTTGTTAGCAAACAACACTAAACTTCTGTAACATTTCAAGTTTGCTTGTATGCTATAGGCCTTCATGGTAGACATCATAACGTTATTGTTTTGAGCCATTTTCTGCAGCATATGCTCAGAAATTTGATATCTGATTTCTCTAAAACAAAGGCGTATTGTGAACATGTACATAATGAGTATGTGTCACCCACTCCTTAAAAATCCAGTTCTGTTCCCTGCTGTAAATATACTGAGTCAAAAAAGAAACTTCACAAAATGTAATTTGAAAAATAATGAATAATTTGTCTCTGATGATACATCTATGTATCCGAAATGGGATCCCTATCCTTCGACTCTAGAAAAACGTTAGCAAAACCCACTCAAACCCATCCATTCGTCGTGCAAATGACGTTAGTGCCAAATCAGGTTTTGCACGTGCAGTCGATCACGTGATCTTCGCATCGAAGTTTTCGTCATATGCACGTGTTTGCATTGGTCTCAAGAATTGAAAAAACACTTTTAAACCACAGTTCTAACGGTACTTGAAATGCCACGATTGTCAAATGTGCGACGTGAACGTGCCGTTGGCATGTTGCAAGCGGGAAGATCAGTTATTGACGTCGCAAGAGCAACAGGATGCAGCCGTCGTACTGTGTATGACTTGCAAGTTCGTCTACAACAAACTGGCACCACTTCTGATCGCCCAAGGTCGGGTCGTCCACGTGTGACGTCACGAGCAGAAGACCGTCAAATCGTCCTACGTCACCTACGTGACAGATTTCTGCCGGCTACACGAACAAGGGCTGAGATGTTTAGAGGTCGACTGTCCTCACAGACCATTCGAAATCGGGTTAGGGCTACCTATCTCCATTCTCCATGTCCATATCGTGGGCCAATATTGACGCCGTTTCATCAACGTCAACGTCTGCTGTGGGCCCAACGTCACCTCCGATGGACCCAGAGAGACTGGAATCGAGTCGTCTTTAGCGATGAATCCAGGGTTACCCTCAGATTCGCGGACGGCAGGCATAGAGTCTGGAGACGACGTCGTGAACGGTATGCCCAATGTTGTGTACAGGAAGTCGACAGATTCGGGGGCGGAAGTTGCATGGTGTTGGAATGCTTTCTGTGGGAACAACCGTTCCCGACTTCTGGTCATCCGTGGAAACCTCACAGCTGCTGCTTACCGCAACCAGGTGCTCACCCCTGAACTCGTTCCTTTCATGGCGGCTCATGGCCCAGGTCTACAGTTCCAGCATGATAATGCTCGGCCGCATACCCCGATGTTGACACGAAATTTCCTTCAAAACGCTGGAATGAACGTCATGGACTGGCCATCGAGGTCCCCTGACCTTAATCCAATAGAGCACGTTTGGGATGCACTTGGGAGAAGGCTTCGTGGTAGGAACCAACCTCAGAGTTTGCAGGAACTTGGCGCAGAATCCCCAACCACGTGTTCACAAGCATCAGGCAGTCGATGAGGAGATGGTGTTTGGCAGTGGTGAATGCGCAGGGCGGCCATACACGATATTGGACTGAGAAATTTCGCATTTATATTCTTGTGACTTGACATTCTGTATACCCATGTTTTGGAACGGCGGTGTAGTCTAATGGAACTGATTATGGCACTGTAAGTGTATCGAGTACATCACACAGATCTCAGCAATGAAATAATAACAATTTCACCATCTTACCATCTCTTGTTCTTTTATAGTGCCCTGAAGAAAGAATGTGAAGTTTCTTTTTTGACTCAGTATATGAGACTTAGTACATTAAGTACGGCAATGTGTCTGCAGTAAATGATGGACAACATTCCATCAGTAAATGCAAGGCTACCTTATTTCAGTACATGTAATGGATATGTCCTTTCAGCAAAAGTTATTTCAGTAACTATATTCCAGGAATCTCATCAATTCTTTTTCGTATTGGGAAAGTGGGATAGGTGAACTAGCTACCACCACTGCATGAACAGATCTGACCTGTCTATGGCACATATGGCCTACATTTGTATTGATAAAGTACATCTGGACTCACAAAGGCTTGGAATCATCCGTCAGTGGAATTTGCCAATACCCTTTCATTAGGTTAAACTTTCTGATGTACTTAACGTGACTGATCGTGACGTTATCGATTCTTGGGAAAGAATCAGTTTGAGAAAGAACGATCACTCGTTCCATGTCTGAACAGTGTTTGTAGCTACCATCATGTTTACGCACAAAAATAGCGGAGGAACTATAGTGTGGTCCAGCATCTATTGACCTTCCTTCATGGAGGTTTCAAGCTGATCGGATCAATAGCATAGGGATGTTGTTTCACATGGCGTCACCCATATCTACATCATGACACACTCAATCTGCACGGCCAGATATAACCATACACAAGTAAACAAACTCTTAAACGAATCTCGAAGCTTGAAGAAGATGATAAATGATCTGTACTAATTTCTCTTCAGAACTGATTATCTTAGTCAGCTTAGTCTAGAAAAGACAGAAAGTTATTACAATTTTACATAACAATTCTCAGCCCTATCTCAGTCTGATACATTAAGTACAGATGCAATAGTGGCAATACTCTGAATAGAAACATTCTATTTCTTTCTAGTTATATTGGCATGTCAAAGTTGTATCATTTTACGATAGCCTAGTGTTAGCACAACATAGTCAGTTACATAACTTTCTGATAAAAAAAACATATGGCCCGTAGCAGTCGTAGTTGACCGGGGAGTGCCAAAAACGCTAGGAATTTGTCACCCGGCTGTCATGTTTACCTTTATCATGATGATTAGACAAATAGCTGGCATAGTGCTGAGTGTGACGTTATCATTATGAATTCTTTTCATTTTGTCCATTTCTATTAAATTACCCATAGCAGCCTCACAAACTCCCAAAGCCCAAACCAAATGATAAAACATACACTAACAAACCCATCTCAGAATTATCATGAGGCAAGGCCAAAAGGATTATAAACATAGTCCTTCACAGCAGAAAACACATGAAGACCTTCACCCTAATCCAACCCGGTAAGCATATTTCAAGGGCCAAGATCACTTGAGGGATCAAAATTTGATTGTGCTTCAACATGCTGGGGAAAACAAGAACCATATATCAAAATTGTCTTTAGAGTACCCCTATAGGTACAGCAATATATGTTCATTACCGAATGGCGTGACTGGACATGGGGTCGCACCTGTGGTCTTGGACGCCATGTATTACTGCAACACAGTCACAATGGAAGTACAAACTAGATTCAAGGAAAGTACTCAGGAATTCGGGAAAGTATTTGACAAAAAGTTTGATTTGGATTTGGTATTTGAGATAAGAATCCATTACTAAATCGCACAACTTTCTCTGCTAAGAGATATGTTTATACATGTACTTGCTCTTCTAAGAATGTTGAAAGACATATTCACCACTGAAAAATTCATTTCCAGAAGAAATAATACTTTTGAAAGCTTCTCAACCAAATGGTTGCCTCTCTTACCAGTATTTAATAATGAATAACTATTTAATGGAATAACTGTTCAAAGGTCAAGCTTGCTTGCTAGGCTGGCTACTCATATTCTCCTAGCAGCACCAATGGTCGAGCATCCTTGGCTGGCTATTCATATTCTCCTAGCAGCACCAATGGTCGAGCTTCCTTGGCTGGCTATCCATATTCTCCTAGCAGCACCAATGGTCGAGCTTCCTTGGCTGGCTATCCATATTCTCCTAGCAGCACCAATGGTCGAGCTTCCTTGGCTGGCTATCCATATTCTCCTAGCACCAATGGTCGAGCTTCCTTTGGCTGGCTATCCATATTCTCCTAGCAGCACCAATGGTCGACATATGGTCTAGCAGCTTCAGTGGTCGAGCTTCCTTGGCTGGCTATCCATATTCTCCTAGCAGCACCAATGGTCGAGCTTCCTTGGCTGGCTATCCATATTCTCCTAGCAGCACCAGTGGTCGAGGCTGGCTGGCTATCCATATTCTCCTAGCAGCACCAATGGTCGAGCTTCCTTGGCTGGCTATCCATATTCTCCTAGCAGCACCTGGTCGAGCTTATGGCTGGCTATCCATATTCTCCTAGCAGCACCAATGGTCGAGCTTCCTTGGCTGGCTATCCATATTCTTCTCCTAGCAGCTACCAATGGTCGAGCTTCCTTGGCTGGCTATCCATATTCTCCTAGCAGCACCAATGGTCGAGCTGGCTGGCTATCCATATTCTCCTAGCAGCACCAGTGGTCGAGCTTCCTAGGCTGGCTATCCATATTCTCCTAGCAGCACCAATGGTCGAGCTTCCTTGGCTGGCTATCCATATTCTCCTAGCAGCACCAATGGTCGAGCTTCCTTGGCTGGCTATCCATATTCTCTAGCAGCACCTCGAGCTTCCTTGGCTGGCTATCCATATTCCTAGCAGCACCAATGGTCGAGCTTCCTGGCTGGCTATCCATATTCTCCTAGCAGCACCTATGGTCGAGCGAGCTTCCTTGGCTGGCTATCCATATTCTCCTAGCAGCACCAGTGGTCGAGCTTCCTTGGCTGGCTATCCATATTCTCCTAGCAGCACCAATGGTCGAGCTTCCTTGGCTGGCTATCCATATTCTCCTAGCAGCACCAATGGTCGAGCTTCCTTGGCTGGCTATCCATATTCTCCTAGCAGCGCCAATGGTCGAGCTTCCTTGGCTGGCTATCCATATTCTCCTAGCAGCACCAATGGTCGAGCTTCCTAGGCTGGCTATCCAGGTTGAATGTAACCGTCTTCATAGACAAGTAGTCTTGATGTCATGCGGGTCCTTGTTCCTTTAATTGGTGTCGGTCTTTCCAGAACATTCTGTAACATGCTAGATTAGACAATACTGGGTAGATCTATGTTGTTCAAGAAGCTTCCAGATTACACGTGACCCCCTAATCGACATACAGCAACAAGCACATCATTGTCCTACAATTCGAGAGAATGAGTGTTTCACAATGAATTGCACTACCACAAAACAACTTGCATTTATTTTACAGCTGCCTGGTTAGGCAGGATACGCTAGCTTTTTCGTGAACACATTTCAATACCAAGAGGTGGTTAATATATGTACTTCCAGACAACGAAAGGTAATCGTACTTTGATTAGACAACAACAATTACAAAGGTTAGAAAAAAACACTTAAAGTTCAATGATTATAACAATAGTAAAATGCTATCGAATCCTAGCTGGTTGCATATTTAGCCTGCACCAAACATAGGTCTTTACATACATTAACATCTTCATTGCAACCTGAATCGTATAACTGTCTTGAATGAATTTTGTCGCTTTCCATTATCACAACCTTTTCAAAAGAGTTTTGTTTGTTGTTTTACGCCGCACTTAGCAATATTCCACCTATATGGATGCGGTCTGTAATTATTCGAGTCTGGACCAGACAATCCTGTGATCAGCATCGATCTACGCAACTGGGGTACAATGACAATGACAATGTGATAAACTCCTAAGGAACGTCACATCGGGTTGTTGTCCCTCAAACGGCGTTTTACACTAGGAACGTAGATTTCTGTTTCCGAAGAATATGTTTTACTGTAATTAATTCGTTTATACTCGTGGAGCTACAATGGATCATTTTTACTCGATTTTTAGTCTGACAACAGCTATTCCGGATACTCATGCACTGCTTACATTTGCCAAGAAAACACTGCATATGCTTCAGTAGGTAGCCCTAGACGCTATCAGAAGCCATGACGGTCACCCACCCAAATACTCGGAAGGCCCGGCTTTGCTCTACATCAAAATAATTGTGGAAATAATGAATTTTGTCGTTGACATTAAATCACCACATTCATGCCCCTCCTACACAGCTCTGATGGGTCTTCGTTATTGTACCAATGGCATAATTCACTGAGTCATTATGAGCCTGCATGCAATCATCAATGAAATACACATGCCACTGTTAACCACGGGCAATGTCTTCCTGTGCAGTCAGTGTTCCTTTCCAGATCCAATGGGAGTGTATTTGCTTCAGTGTGGGGGAGGACCAAAGACACTCATGCTGCCAAACATTGCTCACATGATTTGTGGCATGTGCCGTGTACACAGACTCACGTTTGGCCACGCCCATGCTGTGGCAAATCCTTCAACATTTTTTAATTTTACAAACGGTTCTAAATGTGTATGATACTTTTAAACGTTCCTATGTAAAGCGACTTGGGTCTACGTGTTTCATTGTTATTGGTGAGTGATAAGTAGCTTACAAGATAAGACGGGTGCTTGGTAACTATTTGAGGCGAGGTGGGACGACTACAGTGTCTATTGTAGCCTTGTAACAGGTCGGAAGGCAGGAGGTAAGCCTGTGTATACAGTGTATGTTTCAACTGCTAGGTTTTCACGACTGATATACGAATTATTCTGTGGCACGCATGCTTGCCATGTCACTTCTATCACAGGACACCGAGATCATGGTTAAAGAAGTGAATGTATGTTATCGAACATCTTCATCCCGTGTATGCCTCAAATGAAATACCATCTCTCAAAACAGCCGATTTGGTTCTTAGGATCTGTAATATATGAAAATTAAGCAAAAGATTTAAACAATATTCCGACAGATATCGGTTGTTAGATGTTTACGAACAATGTTATGGTATTTGACCAAATATCGACAGCATGATTCGACTCTCTCATGTGCTTGTGTTCATCAACCACTATCCGATAAGGATGGTAGCAGGTGGTAGCCATCCTGCAACAGCTCCGGGTTACAGGTAAGGATACCACTGATGGGAAATGATGGTTTGTCATGTTTTCAGGAGTGTTAGTCTAATATCTAAACTCCCGTCAGTCTCTGGCACAATCTGGTCTTCATACGTCTTGAAGCACCATATTATGAAAATACCATTATGGGTGAAGGACTTGCCTTTATTAATAATGAACCTTTAGAAACACATACGCATTTGGCCATATCAGACAAAACTAAATGTTTATTTATAAAAAGGAAAGACTTAGGTTTGGAGCAACCTCAACAAAGGTGAGACATTTAATGTAGCAGTAGCAAACATGCATTCGGAGACTACGTGAGGTATATAGCTGATTCCATATTGCGGTAAGATACCATACCATCGATGGGAGAGAGGTGCGACATGTTTTGGATAGCATTGCCTTCCTCTAGTTTATCTATATAGACAGATTGTTTGGCAGTTATGTAGACACAATGACACTGTGTTTTTCGGAGCTTCAGATTTCTATGCTTCTATCTGTGGGTCAGTCTTACATCGATCTCCTTCACAACACATGTCCAGTTTAGAATGTATGGAAGATAGAACATGTGAGGATTAGTTCCCGCTAATTTGGACCACATAAATTAAAAAAAAAAAATATAACTATATTTATTGTTATTCCCCTAATTGTTTATGTTTTCAGACATACGTATTGTTGTGGAAATGTGTAAAATGAAACATTTAAAACAGATATCAACACATTTTTCCAGAAAATATGTTAGGATCTGCAATGCCAGATTTACACAATGGAGTGGGTTTGATTGTCCATTTGCTAAAGGAAAACGCAATTACCTTATCAACACATAGCGGTGACATTAGCAGCATGTGGCCATTATTACATGGCTCTTCAAGGCCATCCGTCTACAGATATGGATTAATGAGGGACACCTTGATGACACATGTAACGTTGATGTTACACCCCTGACAATCATGTATAATATGTCCAACAAGTTGATATTTATGCATAGTGACCCATAAAAACTCACATCAATGACAGTTGTGGATGAGTGAGCTGGGTGAAACGCTGTTTTTGCACATATTTAGAATGAGTATCAGTGATATCCTTTGACTGACTGACTTACTTGACTTTATACGGATTTAACCATAAGAATACTTCTTAGTTCCACTTTCTTAAAAATACGTGTGATTAATTAATCATCATATTTCTGTCCTTACAACTTGTCCTCTGAATATCAGAAGGTCATGTAAATAAATGAGTGAGTGAGTGAGTTTGGTTTTATGCCGCTTTAAGCAATATTCCAGCAACATCAAGGCGGGGGACACCAGAAATGGGCTTCACACATTGTACCCATGTGGGGATTCGAACCCGGGTCTTCGGCGTGACGAGCCAACGCTCTAACCTCTAGGCTACCACACCGCCCCGATATCCTTTGATATCCAGTGATATCAGAATGTTGGCACTCGCAGCATGCTTTGTGTAACAAACGGGTGTTACGTGAGTCGTGTTTCCCACCAACGTGATGTCAGGTACAATCTCCTTGTGACTTAGGCCAGATGTTCCTGTTCAGGTGAAACAATCTCACGTCATTGCAAGTGTTTATTATGGGCTCTGTCGCTGGGGCAGAATCCGCTCACGTATTTCTTGAACACCTGGTGTCGTTACTACTTGATAGTGATTCATAGACACGTGCTCATGTCATTTTCTCGGAATTATACTCTGTTTTCAGTAGATTTTATCGTGATTATTAGAAATGTTTATTTGTTGCTTTTATAGAAACATTACCGAAGGATAATCTAGATAGTATTTTCTGTTCTCCTCAGACATCATGCTGGTGTTGGTATTGGCAGCTCTAGCGGCTGCAGCTTCGGCGGTTGACGTCCCCATTAGTAACCACTGGGACGGCGGCTTCCAGGCGAAGGGCTGCGTCACGATCACGAAAGACCTTCATAGCTGGAAGGCACACTTAACGTTCTCTCAGGCCGTCGATTCTCTAGATGTGAGGTTAAAATGGTTTAATATTGGTTTATGCATATGGAACGTATACTTAACTATACTATTCACGCTCAAGGCTCCTTAGCGTTGATAAAACAATAAAAGGTGAAGCCGTCTTCTATATATACTTATAAATACCACGGACAAAATACCTATCCAGACAATAATAACGTATCTAAAACTATTCAGAACCACACTTTCCGGACAATGTGACATTTGATTTAATCTTAGGTATCTTAGGACGACACGGGAAGCGTTATGGTTATGTACGCTGTAATTACATGCTGAAGAAGTAAAGTGCTTCTTTCGACCGATATCCTATACTACACGTGATTGTAGGTACGACTGTATGTACAAGGTATAATGCCATACTGTTGGTTACAGGTCAGCACGGCCAATGTCCAGAAGACCAATGGAGGGAAGGAATACATCCTGACGAACAAACAGTGGAACGCTGATGAACACGCCGGAGACAAACTCTGTCTGGATTTTGTGGGTCACACAAGTGGCAACATCGCCCCTAAGGCCACCCTGACAGTTGAGGGCATGGCTGCCGGTAGCTCCCACTCCGGTGGTTCCAACACCGGCACCCCCACCAGTACCCATAGCGGTACTCAGGCCCCTGTGCATACAGGTGCTTTTCCCAGATGTGCTTTGTGATAGCATCGATATAAAGTTGCTGTTTCAAAGATGAACAGAAAAAGTTATGTACTCTTACAGGGCTGGAATGAGATTGATAGCCAGATGTAGTCCAACTACGTGTTGTCTGTTCGTGTCAAGGGCATGTAGATTTAAATATTGACGATATGTGGCAATGTTTTCTGTTAAATGCGGTACGCTTGTCGTGGTTTGTTGTTTAACGCCGGACTCAGCAAAATTCCAGCTATATTGCAGTGGTCTTTAAATAATTGAGTCTGGACCAGACAATTCTGTGATCAGCAGCATGAGCATCGATCTACGCAATTGGGATACGATGCCGGTCAACCAAGTCAGCAAGCCTGACCACCCGACCCTGTTAGTCGCCTTTTATGACAAACATGGATTACTGAAGACTATTTGTAACACGGATCTTCACGGGTTCAAAATGCGGTTTGTAAATAATCGATTATGGACCAGAGATTGGGCATTCTAGCAATCTAACTTTAGGGTTTTATTAAAGCCATGTTTTCTCTGTCTACATATAAGTATTTTAAAACCACTTTTAACTCTGAATAGTAAACTGTTGACCGTTCCAAAATGAGCTTAAACTAAAATCAACAGAAGTCATGCAACAATCATTCGACAACACATACACGTGGGGTTTAGCTAATGGCATAGTCATGAATCAACCAGTGAGGGGGGTGTTCTAAGGCCGCCCGACAATGAAGTAACGACAAGTATAATGCAGGTTTATGAAGTTTGTCATTTTGCTAAAAGGGTATAATGTTAAAAAATCTAGAAATTCAAAGCCACAGGCACAGATCTTCTGGCACGCCTACGGAGCGCAACTCTGCATAGCAAATTGTGGTAGTTGAAGATGTAGAGAATGACATATATCTGTAAAGGCACAAGTTATGTAAAGGGTATATTCCGTGTTGCAGGAGGCGGTAAAGAAAGATACAACTATGGCGAAGCTCTTGGCAAGTCCATCCTGTTCTATGACGCTCAGAGATCCGGCAAACTTCCGGCCAACAACCCCATCAAGTGGCGAGGTGACTCCGCCCTGGGAGACAAGGGAGATAATGGGGAGGATCTGACCGGGGGCTGGTATGATGGTCAGTAGTTGGTTCCCTGGACACTATTTGATTATATTTAGAACCCATAAACACTGTCCAAGTCAAAATGATCGAATTAAAATAGGGAATTTTTATTCTTTGTCAGTGAAGTTTGAAACTCTGAAATGTCCTTTTCGAACACCATTTCGTATTTTAATCACATGACGTTGTTTGGACACTTGGTATAATGAGCATGCTGGATTTACCTCAAAAGTTGTGAGGAGACTTTTGGGTTCAGCTTCCCTTATTTTTCTGTAAGTTATGACTCTATCTGGTACTTTTCCGTGTCCTCGTAAAAAGAGACTTTGAACTACAAAGGTTCTCTAACTGGCAGGCCCTCTATACCGCCATTTTTGCCGGTCCCAATGCATGCCGGTTTAGAGGGCTTCCAATGTACTTACTCTTCCCTCCAGCCGGTGACCACGTCAAGTTCAGCTTGCCCATGTCCAGCTCCTCCACCCTCCTGCTGTGGGGCTACTTACAGTGGAAAGATGCCTATGCCACAACGAAACAAACAGACAAATTCTTTGACATGATCAAGTGGCCCTTAGACTACTTCTTGAAGTGCTGGATTCCATCCAGTCAGACTCTGTATGCACAGGTGAGATGCAGTATACCAGGTGTATTCTAAAGCAGGTTTGTACTGATGGGTATGGCTGAACGATGTGGAATAGATCATGAACTGCACCTTGAGCAATAGATGATGCAAAGTTGCAAATAAAAATAACTCGCTTATATGTCTGCCGCTATTGCAGTATAGCAGGACGCCATGTTTACCCCGTGTGTAATCTGTTTGGGTAGATAATCGTGAGTAACTATTCAACACACGTTGTAAACACACGATCAATATATTATTTTGTGTTCCCATATTTAGTTTCTGGTTTTAAAAAGGTTGGAGAAGGAAATGATGACCACCACTTCTGGGGCCGTGCTGAGGACATGAAGATGGCCAGACCCGCCTACAAACTCACACCAAGCAAACCTGGATCAGATGTTGCTGGAGAGATTGCTGCCTCCCTAGCTGCTGGGTATCTGGCATTCAAACAGAGAGGTGAGAAATACGTCAAGGAAATGTATGATATTGGCAGTATCAGTGTTAAATTCCTTTCCATATTTTGGACAGATCTTCAAATGGTGAAGCTTATAATAGATAAGCACCGAGCACTTAAAGTACAATTGTAACAACATGTTGTTGAAACGTCTGTCCTCTTACCTATAGTTGATGACATTCTGATCAGTCATTTGTGGATATCTTGCTGACATGACAAAATGTTTCCCATGCTAGATCATGCCTACGCAAATAAACTTCTGGCTGCATCCAAGCAAATCTATGCGTTCGGAAAGAAGTACCCTGGAAAGTACAGTCAGAGTATCTCGGATGCCGGCCAGTTCTACTCGTACGTATGGTCTTTGTGCATGTCATTTTCAGAGTGAAGCTCTAACCGTACGCATATCAATTCTAACATATGGATATATTCATCCATAGACACGTGCCATTATGCTCGTACGTATGTCTAGCGATCTTGTGGTGTCCTCGTAACGGGTTTAAGGTTACACGTAAAGTATACTCTCCCAAAAAAGAAACGCATCAGGAAAATAGCAATTTCATGTAGCAATGAATTAAAACGTGATTTATTTTACAAAAGGTTTTGCTCTGTTTATGAGTCCTATGGTGTTTATGTTTTGAAACATCACAACAAAACGCACCATCCGTAAAATACCCGTATTTAACAGCATGATTTTCAACTTCGGCGTGTAGTATCACAGAATACACAATTCACATGCAATGCACGTGAAAGTTGGGGATCTGATAGTCTCAATGATGGGTATAAAAAGGTTAATCGCTGTCTGTCGATTAGTCACTGTATTTGGAATATTGTTGACGAACGCAAAATGCCACGTGTAAGTGAAGCCAACCGTCATATCGCCATTAGTTTGCTTGAAGCAGGCCAGTCTCAACGTGCAGTTGCCCGACGCATGAATGTTCACCAAAGCACCATTTCACGACTCTGGGAGAGATATCGCCGGCAGAATTCGGTAGCAGATGCCCCTCGTAGTGGGCGACCTCGAGCGACCACTGCGGCGCAGGATCGCTACATTCGGGTACATCACTTGCGTCATCGAACAGCTAGGGCGACCAGTACCGCTCGACAAATACCCGGATTGAGGAGGCTTTCTGCACAGACCGTCAGGAACAGGTTGAGAGAGGCTGGTTTACGTGCCAGAAGACCTTTTTTTTGCCCTGTGCTTCGACAACAACATCGTCGACATCGAGTTCAATGGTGCACCAACGTTCTGGCCTGGAACCTACCAAATTGGCGTAGAATCTGGTTCAGTGATGAATCACGATTTCTATTGGAACGACGCGATGGAAGAATGCGGGTGTACAGACGTCAACGTGAACGTTTCGCCGACGCTTGCGTTCCCCATGTCGACAGATTCGGCCGGGAAAGTGTTATGATGTGGGGAGCGATCACCTGCCGTAGGAGAAGTGATTTGGTGATGATCCAGGGCAACCTGACAGCTCAACGGTACTGTGACGAAATCCTACGCCCACACCTCTTTCCAATCATTGATCGCCAGAGGGAGTTGTTTCAACAGGACAATGCCAGGCCCCACACAGCACGTCACACTAGAGACTTCCTCCAGAACCACAACATCAATGTGCTCCCCTGGCCCTCAAGATCACCGGACTTAAACCCAATCGAACATCTGTGGGCTGCCCTGGACAGACGGGTGCGACGCCGTAACCCTCAGCCCCAGACACTTCAGCACTTCGCACAGGCACTTCAGGCAGAGTGGGCTGCGATTGGGCAACACGGGATTCTGAGACTTATTCGTTTGGATGCCGAGGCGATGCCGTGCAGTTCTGGATGCCCACGGTGGTCACACGAGGTATTGACTTCAGCGCCACCACACGTCTCCATGTGACACTCAAACTGACTTTCCTCGAGTTGGTGCCAAAGACGGATACGTCTGCATTCCCAGTGTGCAATTTCGCTATATTTCATTAACTCATAAAGCCTACAAGATGTTTCAAAATAAACATAAAAATACAGTTGAAATTCCTATATGCGTTTCTTTTTTGGGAGAGTATATTTCTTCGCATATGAATGGCATATTGATGTATATAAGCTAATAGCCTACATCTAGAGTGATGGCACACTTCATACCAGTTCAAACCAAGCTCTTAATTCTTTAAAGTGTTTACTGATTTCGGACAGATTCAGTTTGCTATTGAGGAAATACCTAGTCATCTTCTTCAGCTGGAAAGTAACGAATGCTTCGTGTTTCCCCTTAAAGCGCAAATTCTGTAAGCCACATACAGGCGTGTTTTTATTATCAGAGCTGCAATGGTTGGCAACCACGTTTGTAGAGGAGGAAGGTGATTTGGACATATTATCGCTCTGTGGATGTTGTGATGATCATTATAGGGTATATGGTTGCGAAAAGATTACTTATGATAAATTCCAAATGGGATAAAGGTTATCAAATGACTTGGCAATTTGTCTTGAATCCAGGTCCAGCGGATTATGTTTACCCGATTAAATTTAACAGTTTATGCTGTTTATTTGAATACTATACACTTCTAAGGCCGTAGCCGAACAGAACACATAAAGCCGTGACTTCAACGTTCATTGTTTACTACGGAGGTGGGGTTACATGCAAGGTCACCAAGGGACGCAACTCTAATCGGCTTGCCGCTACCGTCACATAAGGCTGCAGGAGTTGTCTCTCATTGTGTATATACCGTAGTGTGCACATACTACAATTTGCATGAACTTTTACTTCAGATCAAGTGATGACAAGGACGAGATGTGTGAGGGCGCCATGTGGCTGTACAAGGCAACAAATGACAAGTCCTACCTGGCCGATGCCAAGGGATTCCACGAGAATGCCTGGGCATGGGCTCTAGGATGGGACGACAAGAAAATCGCTTGCCAGGTGAAACAAGTCTTTGTCTTGTTCATGTTGAAGGGCATTTTTGTTTTGACTGTGTGGTGATGTGTTCACAAGAGTGTTTTCTGTACGACATCATAGGTTTGATGCCCATTTCGCTAGACATTTTTGACCAGTGAAGATCCGGTTTAAACTTTTCCTTCAGCAACCAATTCTCGTCGTAAGAGGCACTAACGGCATCGGACGATCAGGTTCTCTGACATGGTTGACAGTTGCGTAGATCAATATTCATGATATTGATCACTGGATTGTCAGGTGCAGACTCGATTATTCACAAACCGCCGCCATATTGCTGTAATATTGCTGAGTGCGGCGTTAAACAACATCTAAGCAAACACAACAACAACCGTTATGAAGAGGAACTGAAGCAGGCTACTGGCAGTCAATACATGTCTTTCATAACCCAGTTTGGTTGGCAACTTTACTTCACTTACGATGAAGAACAGTAAATGATATGATACACGTGGCGAATTCTCATTTCGACATTTGACAATGGGGACACACAAACCTGAATGACCATCCAGAGCTTTGTCCCTATTACATGGTTTATCCACTTACATTTATCAAGCATGCGTTACGTGTTTCATAACTGTTATTCAGATGTTCCAAATTAATTTAACCAGAATATGTACACTTAAGACAATGTTGATCAGGTATCTACTAAAACAATATACAGCACCCAGGTTTCTCTGGACTTGTTACGAATCCGTGGTGTTTATTCAGACAAAGGGTGATAATGATAATGTGAGTTAAACATGTTTGCAGCAATATAAGTGATCACAGAGGAACATATGTAAACATAAGTACACAGTTATGTAACAACATATCTTATAAGCGAGAAATCTGATGTTACAATAAGGGAGTTTATGAAATGCTCAATTATCTTATAGAAAATACAGAATGGAAGGATTTATATAATGGATGTTCAAATGTTAATAATGCTTGTTCACTATTTTATAACAAATTTACTCAACATGTGAAATCATGTATTCCTTCAAAAATAGTAACTATTCGTCCAAATGACAAACCATGGTATGACTCTAATTTGAGGAGGGAATCCCGAAAAAGAGACCGATTACGGAGAAAGGCGAAGGAAACTAAAAAGGAGAGTGATAAAAAAGCTTATAAACATCAGAGAAATAGAGTAAACAACATGAAATGTTATGCGAAAGAAAACTTCTACTCTAATATTAATGGCCTACTTTTGGAATTATACTCTGAAAATAAATCTTCATATTGGAAATTATTACGTTATATTGTTAAAACCTCGGGCTCTACTTCGCATATTCCTCCTCTCAAGCAGAATGTTGTTGATGAATTTCCAACGCTATTTTCTGATTTGGAAAAAGCTGAAAAACTTAATACATATTTCGAATCAATTTCCCGTTTGAATGATAAAGATGTACCATTACCACATTTTCCCTCAAGGACCAATATGCAGTTAGATAAAATAGTAATTTCTGAGAAGGAAGTATCTGATGTTATAAAATGTTTACAGTTAAACAAAGCTTCAGGGCCGGATAGAATAAGTCATAAATTATTAAAGAATACCGTTTATTCCATATCCAAGCCCCTGTGTTTACTGTTCAACTTATCATTGCAATATAGTGTGTATCCAAATATGTGGAAAAGTGCATATGTCATGCCTCTGTTTAAGAAAGGTGATCACTCTATTGTTTCCAATTATAGACCTATTTCTCTTATAAGTTGCATAGGAAAACTGTTTGAAAGAGTGGTATACAAACACTTGTATAACTATTTCCTTGTTAACAAACTTTTTTATATAAGTACCAATCAGGCTTTCAAGCAGGTCATTCAACTGTCCATCAATTAATTGAACTTTACCATCATATTTGTACATCTCTCGACAACAAAGAAAAATATTGTATGGTATTTTGCGATGTATCCAAAGCTTTTGATCGTGTGTGGCACAAAGGGCTTGTACGTAAATTAGAGATGTATGGTATTAGAGGCCTGCTTTTGCAATGGATATCGAGTTACATAAGTGATCGCAGTCAACACGTCTTTGTAAACGGAGCTATATCCAAGCCCAGGTACTTAACAGCTGGCGTCCCCAGGGATCAGTATTGGGACCCTTTTGTTCGTGGTCTATGTTAACGATATTGCTGATAAATTAGATTGTGTAACAAGACTTTTGCTGACGATACCTCGCTTGGAAAATCATCGAAAAATACTAAAAGAAATCGAAACCTCTTAATACTAATTTAGACATATTATATAGCTGGAGCAAAAACTGGCTGGTCTCATATAATCCTGAAAAAACAGAAGCAGTGTTGTTTTCCATGATTGATGAAACTGAAGAATTGAAATTATTTTTTGACGGAAAGCAAATCAATTTGGTAAACAATCATAAACATCTCGGAACAACATTTGAAGCAAAAGGCAAATGGTCTTGTCATACTAATCAAATTATCAAGTCGTGCTCCAAAATGATATCATCAATGCGGAAATTGAAATACTTACTTAACAGAAATACAATCAATACTATTTATAAGATATTTATCAGACCACACTTTGAATATGCTTGTGAATTATGGGATGGCTGTACTGTAAAACAGAAAGAAAACTTAGAGAAACTTCAGTTAGAAGCTGCCAGAATAGTTACGGGTCTACCTAGATATACTTCACGTCAAATTCTATATTATGAGACAGGCTGGGAAAGGCTGGATGAACGAAGAAAAAAAAGAAAACTTTGTCTATTCTACAAAATTCAAAATGATTTAGCCCCTGTATACTTAAAAGATATTACTCCAGATAGTGTTGGATCAAGATCTAATTATAACCTTAGGAATGCTAGTAAAATAATTCTACCTTCTGCAAGGTTAAGACTTTCATATGATTCCTTTTTTCCATCAACTGTAAGAATGTGGAATAATATTTCTGATACCGAAAGAAATCGACCTTCATTACAAAGTTTCAAGTCGTACTTAAAGTGCGAGCAACCTGTAGCTCCATCATATTACTCGTTTGGAATTAGAAAATTAAATATTATACACACAAAGTTGAGATATATGACTAGTCAGCTAAATTATGATCTGTATCGTTTCAACATAAAAGATTCAGCTTCTTGTTACTGTGGCAATACTTGTGAAAATGTACATCACTTCCTATTAGAATGTAAACTGTACAACATCCAAAAGGAAATATTAATGTTAAATTTAAAAAGTATTGTAAATCGAGACTCTCCAATCACATTGTCATTGATGTTATTTGGAAGTCCTGATATGACCATTCAACTGAATGAATACGTTTCTAAAGGTATGCAAACTTTTATTCATCAATCGAAACGTTTTGTGTGATCACATGAGTTGTATCCCTTCCTCTACTTAACTTTCCTATCTCTTCTCTCTATTCTTTCCTAATTTGTATATAATTGAAAATGTATGTATGTAAATATTAGGGAGCGGGTATTTTAAGTTGGATTACTTGTCCCCAATCCCTTTCACATTTGTGAATAAAATATGTTTAAATCAATCAACATGTTTGCACTTTGGATGGGGCGCTGTTTGTGTCAAAGTGAATAACATGTTGTTATTGTCTTCTTTTGTTCAGTTCCCAAAAACTAATTAAATCAGGGCTACATATTTCCTAAATATTTATATAATATTCACAACATATGTCATTACCATTTCTGAAAGAAACATTGTAACTTGAATTGTATCGTTTTGACTTCTTCAAATAAGGATAATATATAGTAAAAACCCCAGCTTGTTGTGTTGTAAAATTTAGAGAACGTATTAGAGTATGAGCCATATTCCATTAATGTCATGGAAAGGTGATTGAGTGAGTGAGAGAGCGAGTGAGTTTAGTTTTACGCCGCACTCCGCAATATTCCAGCTATAAGGCAACGATCTGTAAATAATCGAGTCTCGACCAGACAATCCTATGATCAACAGCATGAGCATCGATCTACGAAATTGGGATACGATCACATGTGTCAACCAAGTCAGCGAGCCTGACCTGCCGATCCCGTTAGTTGCCTCTTACGACAAGCATGGGTAACTGAATATCCATTCTACCCCAGATCTTCACGGGTCTCATGGAAAGGTGGATACTGATGAATACATATATCTAGTGATCTGTATTACATCCATGCTTACCTGACCCTGTCCCTGTATTCAGCTGCTGTTGTACGAGGCTACCAAGGACTCTGCTTACAAAGACGAAGTGGTGGGTTTCTTCAAGGGCTGGCTCCCTGGTGGCTCCATCACCTACACTCCATGTGGACAGGCGTGGAGAGACCAGTGGGGCTCCAACAGATATGCAGGTCAGTATGACAAATATCGCAGGAGTCCGGGACACAGTTGAGAAAACGTTAATGCTTGTTCTAAAAGTGAATTATTTAAAACAGGAAATCACCACGAGGGTGCACTTCGTGAGGATACGTACTCCACTGTGTTCCTGAATAAAAAAGAATGCAAACTTTTATTGTAGGCTGTTTGATCGGCATTAGCCAAAAATACAAAGCTAACAACTTTATGGGTGGCAACTCCTTATTTATTGCACAGATCGACGTTTTGATTCTTCTAGCTTGATAATAGTGTAGGAATCTACGTGAAGACGTCTCTCTATGCCATAAACAAGAAGTTGTCAGCCACACAGTTGTCATCAATCAGCCAAGGGTACCAACTGATGGCTGTTTTCGCCAGTCGTGGTGTCCTCCTCCGTGATATTGCTGGAATATTGCTAAAGGCGGAGTAAAACCCGACTCACTAACTCACTCACTCAAAATAGAGAAGCTGCTATCAGATGCTTCAGAGAAAAGGTGCAGGTGAATTATATCAATATAATGAAATTTGATCAGTTGTACTCATGGCCAAGCTGTACTGGACTAGAAAGTGATCTTCATTGGGTCATAAAGTATATCCGTTTGACACTCTCTGTCACTTGTATCTGCAGCTAACTCTGCCTTTGTTGCGCTGTTGGCTGCTGATGCTGGTATTGACACTGCAACCTACAGGAAGTGGGCAGTTGAGCAGATCAACTACATCCTCGGGGACAACAAGTACGGCATCAGCTACCAGATCGGCTTCGGCTCCAAATATCCCAGGAATCCTCATCACAGATCTGCGTAAGTTGTTTTTCACTGGTGAAACACTGTAAAATTCCATTTTTAACAATAACTCGTGGATGTCTTTAAAACAAAATTAATGTTTGTTGCTATTGTCACTACATTCTTTTGCACATCCGGGAAGTTTACGGTCCAGACTGTAACTTGCTGCAACCTTATTCGGACGCTGTCAAAGGTGTATTCCATAATTTGCTGCAACTTGAAACTATGTCTTTCAACACAATACTCTTGACTTTATACGGATTTAACCAAAACAATACTTCTTAGTTCCACTTTCTTAAAAATACGTGTGATTAATTAATAATCCTATATCTGTCCGTGAAACACGTGGTTATCAGAAGGTCATGTAAATAAGTGAGTGAGTGAGTGAGTGAGTGAGTTTGATTTTATGCCGCTTTTAGCAATATTCAAGCAACATCATGGCGGGGGACACCAGAAATGGGCTTCACACATTGTACCCAAGTCGGGATTTGAACCCGGGTCTACGGCGTGACGAGCCAACGATTTACCCACTAGGCTACCCCACCGCCCCTCATGTAAATCAGTAACATCAGTGCAACAGAATTCCCAGGTTTCTCTTTGAAGACATGTGAAGGGCAAAAGAACTGTGAAAATTTTATGAATGGCCCTCTGAAAATTATTGAAGACTCGGTGCCGTCATTAGAGGTCAGGAACAACGGTCAAATATACATGGTCACTTACATTTCAGTAGTCTAATAGGTGTTAGGGTTCTATATTGCATATTTTGCAGTAGTGTTGGGAATTGGTTAAAATCTCACAATTGATGACTGGTTCATTACAACCGATCAATCATCGAAAGAAAATGTTTAGCGAGATTTATCAAATTATCCTGGTTATGTTTGTTAATGCACAAAAAACATACAAAAAACATGTAGTTCTTTTGTTGTTTTTTGCAAAATGCACAAAAATGCATTTACAAATTTCACATCTTTAAAGGATGACTATTATGTTAGGAGCATAAATTTCCTGGAATCTTTAAGATAAATTAAATCAGGACTTGGAATGAGCTTTTAGTACTTATGAAATGTAACAGACAAAACCAACCTTTCGAAAAATGTTGTTAATTTGTTAATGCAAACACGTGTTCCAAAATTGTTTGTGTTCGATTATGAGAAAACATGATCGATTGCTTAGTCGTTTAGTCATTGCGACCAATCTTCGATTATTTCAAATAATCGGACCACCACTAATACTAAGTTTTACTCATATTTATGTACGTCGTATGTGAGTGTCACGTTACCTTCATTCTTCGCTTCAGCTCCTGTCCCGACATTCCAGCTCCCTGCACAGAGGTCAACTTACACTCTTCCGGTCCCAGCCCCCATATCCTTGTGGGCGCCATAGTGGGAGGTCCTGGTAAAGATGACTCCTACAAGGACGACAGGGAGGACTACGTCCACAACGAGGTGGCCTGCGACTACAACTCAGGCTTCCAGTCTGCTTTAGCTGGTAAGTGTCAGGTGTTTTCTGTAGCCAGAGTTCCTAAACATCATGAAAGTGCAATCTGCCCACTTATTATTTTCGTGTTATGTTCTAGTAGATAGGCAATAACTGCAATCGGTACCGATCATACGAATCAGTTATTATGAGTAATTAGGTATTTAACTAATTACAACATTCTGTTTCAGGTCTCACTCATCTTGTAAAAAGCTAAGGAGTTGCCAGCAGTTCCTGCACCAAAGTGTCATGGTTGAGACATAACGTGTTTGTATTAAAAATGAAATAAAATACTGAATGGCATTGAATTAGTTTATTTTGTTAGTAGCTTTTGTGACAGTGTGAATATGTTTTATAAAAAGTCTTGGTGTTGTGATTGTATCAGTGCTCACTCACTGAGGTAAACGCACGGTAGTGCGTCTAGTGTCAACTCGTCTAGTAGCAAGCATAAAACAAAACATAGAACATTAGTGAAAAGAAAGAACACACAGTCTAGACTTTCAACCCAAACAAATTATATAAGGTGTAAAGGGGAAAATAGTTGTATGAACGGATCTCTAAAAATCAGAAATGGCTCAAGAGGTTAGCGTATCAGGGTAGGCACGTCCTGAGCTGCCAATAATATATGTTACTCACAAAACTTGCCTACAAATGGTATTTATTGCATGACGTGACAGAGCTGTATTCCCACCATGCGACGATGGCCTATGCGTCTGATGCTGATGTTCCTTGGTAACTCCAGAGAAACGCCATCGATTGTCCTTTCAGATAACGGTCACTTGCTCGAAATGGATATAGGAGTGAAGTTAGTTTTACGCCGCTTGTTGCAATATTACAGTAAGATCATACTAGAAGTGGGCTTCACACGATCTAACAATATGTTTTGATTTTTAGCAAAAGTGTCACTAAAGGCTGTATTATTTCTTAGACGACATATGATTTCGTAAATGGTTGAACGTTCTTCAGATCATGGCTTCGCTTCGTCAGTAAATGTACACTTAGGTTCCAATATGTCGACTTTCAGAAATATTCCTTCAGTAAATATATGGCTATGTTCTTTCAGTAAATATATGGTTATAATCCTTCGGTAAATATGTTCCTTCGTAAATAATGGCTATATATGACTATGTTCCTTCAGTAAATATATTCCTTCGGTAAATATATGGCTATGTTCAGTAAATATATGGCAGTAAATATATGGCTATGTTCCTTTGGTAAATATATGGCTATGTTCCTTCATGTCGGTAAATATATGGCTATGTTCCTTCGGTAAAAATATGGGTAAATATATGGCTATGTTCTTCTTATGTTCCTTCGGTAAATATATGGCTATGTTCCTTCGGTAAATATATGGCTATGTTCCTTCAGTAAATATATGGTTATGTTCCTTCGGTAAATATATGGCTATGTTCCTTCAGTAAATATATGGCTATGTTCCTTTGGTAAATATATGGCTATGTTCCTTCAGTAAATATATTACTATGTTCCTTCGGTAAATATATGGCTATGTTCCTTCGGTAAATATATGGCTATGTTCCTTCGGTAAATATATGTTCCTTCGGTAAATATATGGCTATGTTCCTTCGATAAATATATATGGTAAATATATATGTTCCTTCGGTAAATATATGGCTATGTTCCTTCGGGTATGTTCCTTCGGTAAATATATGGCTATGTTCCTTGTGGCTATGTCTTCCCTTCAGTGAATGTATTGCTATAATATTTCAGTAAGTATATAATTATATTGATTCAGGTAGTGTATGGCTACATTCCTAATCAACCAATCATTTATGGCGTATGCAATTGCTATTTGAATAATAATCAATTAAGAAAATAGAAATATAAGACGAAAAACTGAGTAAAATATGTAGTACCTTTGAATGTATTTGCCTTGATGTCCTGTGAATAATACATGTCGGTTCTTATCTTTCTGTTTTCATTTGCTCATTTGCTCGCAGTGACATCGGTGATTGTAATAGGCGTATGAAGCATGAAACCACCACCAAACATCAATACAAATAATATACGAACGAACAATAGACATTGCAAATATCATGAGTGATTTCAGTGACATCCGTATCGGTATGTTAAATGGTGAACAGCTTGTGATTACATTATGACATGAATTGGAAGACATTTAATAATTTCGAGAACATTAAAACTGAGCTCAACCCTCAACATACACATTTGGGTTGTAAATTATATGCACAAATGCATCTCTTTGTTAGACTGCAACAAAACCTTTCGTTAATCAAATTCAGTGAAAGCAGTTGTTATTGGATTGTCTGGGCCAGAATCGATTGCTTACATCTGGTGGTTGACCCGTTCCTTTGTACAGCGTTAGACACATATACGACTTGTTTTGATATTCAACTGACTGACTGACTGACTGAGTTTAGTTTTACGCCGCTTTTAGCAATATTCCAGCAATATCACGGCGGGGGACACCAGAAATGGGCTTAACACATTGTGCCCATGTGGGGAATCGAACCCGGGTCTTCGGCGTGACAAGCCAACGCTTTAACCACTAGGCTACCCCACCGCCCCTTTGATATTCAAATTGTGTAAGTGGCGAACATACGATTATCACATTAATCTCTCTGCAATGCTCTATATACCTCTGCATGTAATGTTCGTCACTGTTCATCGCTTATGGAATGCTCGTCACTGTGTATTTCTCTATATTATGCTCGTTTCTGTATGTAATGCTCGTCACTATTTAACTCTGTATGTAATGCTCGTCACTATTTATCTCTGTATGTAATGCTCGTCACTATTTATATCTGTGTGTAACGCTCGTCACTATTTATCTCAGTAAGTAGTGCTCGGCACCATTTATCTCAGTAAGTAATGCTCGTCACTAATTATCTTAGGATGTAATGCTGGTCACTATCTATCTCCGTGTGTAATGCTCGTCACTAATTATCTTAGGATGTAATGCTCGTCACTATCTATCTCCGTGTGTAATGCTCGGCACTATTGATCTGTGTGTGTAATGCTCGTCACTATTTATCTCAGTAAGTAATGCTCGTCGCTATTTATCTTAGGATGTAATGCTCGTCACTATCTATCTCCGTGTGTAATGCTCGGCACTATTGATCTGTGTGTGTAATGCTCGTCACTATTTATCTCAGTAAGTAATGCTCGTCGCTATTTATCTTAGGATGTAATGCTGGTCACTATCTATCTCCGTGTGTAATGCTCGGCACTATTGATCTGTGTGTGTAATGCTCGTCACTATTTATCTCAGTAAGTAATGCTCGTCGCTATTTATCTTAGGATGTAATGCTGGTCACTATCTATCTCCGTGTGTAATGCTCGGCACTATTGATCTGTGTGTGTAATGCTCGTCACTATTTATCTCAGTAAGTAATGCTCGTCGCTATTTATCTTAGGATGTAATGCTCGTCACTATCTATCTCCGTGTGTAATGCTCGGCACTATTGATCTGTGTGTGTAATGCTCGTTACTATTTATCTCTGTACGCAATGCTGGTCACTATTTATCTCTTGGTGTAATGCTCGTCACTATTTATCTCTTGGTGTAATGCTCGTCACTATTTATCTTTGAATGTAATGTTTGTCACTATTTATCTCTCTATGTAATGCTCGTCACTATTTATCTCTCTATGTAATGCTCGTCAATATTTATCTCTGTACGCAGTGCTGGTCACTATGTATCTCTTACGGAATGCTCGTCATTATGTATCTCTCTATATAATGCTCGTCACTATTTATATCTGTGTGCAATGCTCGTTACTATTTATCTCTGTACGCAGTGCTGGTCACTGTTTATCTCTTTATGTAATGATCGTCACTATTTATCTCTTTATGCAATGCTCGTCACTATTTATCTTCTTATGTAAGGCTCGTCACTAATTTATCTCTTTATGTAATGCTCGTCACTATTTATCTCTCTATGTAATGCTCGTCACTATTTATCTCTGTGTGTAATGCTCGTCACTATGTATCTCTTGGTGTAATGCTCGTCACTATTTATCTTTGAATGTAATGCTCGTCACTATTTATCTTTTACACCTAGTCGGTAATTATTCGACACTGATTATTGTCTAGCGTTAACGTTTTCAATTAACTCACCTGTTTCATTTTTATACCAACTCAATGCCTGTGGTAGTTCCCCGATTCATGATATTCTGGCCAACATGTTTCATAACACGTACGCATCTCGTGTACCACCGCCTAATATTTAAAGTGTCTACTGTTAGACTTATCTATAGAGCTAAAATATATATCTATAAATACCACATATCTATAAGTAGCCATACAACTTATTGATAATTCATGTTAGGAATTGTAATTCCAACATCAAAGGTTAACATGATAAAAAGGTTGTAGCGTGAGGCCCAGGTAATCCAATCAAGACGAACAAACTAGGTCGACCTTGTACGTCTTACATGACGCGTACGGATATAGTACGGTCCACCTGCACCTGTATCGTTAATTAGGTCTGTGTTCTTAACTACGGTTGCCAAAACTTTGCTTCATAAACCAAAATATCCATTTTACGATTTTTATGATAGACAAAGAAATGATTCGCCAATCGGGAATCGACGAGTGAGTGAGTGAGTAAGTGAGTGAGTGAGTGAGTAAGTGAGTGAGTGAGTGAGTGAGTGATGCCAGTTACAAGGATGTTATCATGATATTGTAGGATATGATACGGGTCACTTGCGATTATCGATTCTGATATCTCCAGAAAGCCCCAAATTTCATTCGATGTAATGGTACGATACAATAATCAGCACCTGGAGTAACTACCATTCACATTGTTCACTGTTCACATCCTAATCTGAACTTCAATGATTAACTCACTCACTCAGCATACACAGGGAGCTAAGGAAAGTCTAGCCAGAGCCAGACAATCTGCGACCTCGAATTAGGATATTTAAATATGCACATAGAAAAAGGTACCGCACACGTTTGATTTTTACCTCTATATAGCCATTTATATTCGTATCATAATTATGTTTTATTTGCAATATATAAGAGGGTGAGCACCACGTGCAATGCGTGTACCCGTCATTAGGCATTATGCACGTTTCGGTAAACTGTTCTGACAGTTCGAATTAACTTTGAAAAATACATTGATTTCGTTGTTGACAAGCAAATATGGGGCCTCCTCTAATGCTAACATCTGCTCAAAGAGAGCAAATTATTGGTATGCTGACATGTCAGTGAGGCTATGGTCGTTGTCATCCATCGATTATCAGCCGATTGGCCAGAAAAAAATAGCAATGTATGACGTTAAAGAGTAAAAACTCATAGGAAGGATACAGCGATATTCAGAATATTTAGACTTCATATCTACCATGTCAAGTAGCGTGTTAAAAGCAGAGTGGATTCCAGATCGTCGTTTGTCCCAAATCGCCTACAATCGACTGGGTATAGAGCCAGATGACCCATTACACGTCCGTTGTTATCCACAGAGCAGAAAGAAGCACGACTAGCTTGATGTCAAGCTCAACGTCACTTGAATTTGAGGTTATGGGGAAAAGACCACTGATATGACGAAAGTCGATTTATTTTGCTCATTCCTCGGGGCTCATGTGTTCGGGGCTGCAGAAACAGTGTATGTTCCCAACGGAATATCTGGAGCAAGTACCGTTTGCCAGGGGATCATTGGCGGTGTGGGCGGTACCTCTCACGTGACTGTAAGCGTGACCTTGTGACGATCAAACAAAATTTGAAAGGGCAAAGGGACATCTCTGAACACAAGGCCATTCGTCATGGACAACAATGCTTGGCCACATCGAGCATGTGCCGTTGGAGATATCTTACGGCAAGAGGCGGAAGCAAATATACATTGGCCCGCCTGGGGTTCACATCTGAAGCCCATAGAGCTTCGCTGGACATTATGAGGTGCACAATACGCCAGAGAGATCCTGTAGTATGAAATCTTGATGTACTGGAACATATAGAACGCAATACCTCAAAGTCAAATTCTGCGTCTATTACAGCCAATGAGGAGGACTGTCTAGTATGCTATTGAAGTTGGTGGATGTTACACCAGATACTGTCATTGTGCGCAGCTATTGATACTTATGTGATGTCTTGAGGGTTGTATGCCGGAAACGTAAAAATGACAACACCTTTTTACGTCAACCGACCAAAGTTACCAGCACTACCAATTGAGTCATCCGTATTGACACGTTTACTTCTATGAATAAAGTACAATCTTGCTTTCTGTTTGCGTTTACATTTGCCATGTCATTATTCCGAAGGGGTCAGTTTACCCAGACGGTAAGATATATTGATTTTTGGATAAGTTCCTTTGCTATGGTTAATGGTAACATATGCAATTCCTTTTCCCATCCGTTTATTACATGAGCCCAATAAAATATTCAGGATCCAAAATGTCATACCCCAAACCTCCTATGCCTTGACATGTGTGATGAAATTGATAACATTTCCATGATTTGCTGAAGAGTATTAACTCTTAAAGGCATTGTGTGCTGGAAAATTAAATCAATATACATTCCATATACTTCATGTTGACGCATGGTGTCTTGGGTGTTGCGACACGCTGTACCATGTCTATAGTCGTGCACAATAGTAATACAGCTGTTGTACTTAGTCTCTATTCAGTGATGATGGCAGCTCGAGCAAGGCACGGTGATTTAATATCAGCCAATGTCCTTTTGTTTGTGCCAGAGCTCAGAACGTAGCCGTCACATAACTTATTAAACCGAAAACCACATGGAGAAAATTTGGTGATGAATTTGGCCATGTACACTTTCTGTATCCTCTTGCCTAGCTAGCAAAACATGTCGTTCTGTGAGAAATACAGCAACTTCTTTCTGTTGATAGACCAACACAGCCGACTCTTCCCGAAATGTATTTCAGTCTGACGACCAAGATAATGTCATGATCCTGCCTTGAACTTCTGCATCATTGAGGGGATGAGGAGGGAAAAGAAGAAGGTGCATATATTCGGTTAACCCACATGTGTTAAGGTTTTTACATTATAAAGGTGATGCAAACGATAAAGCCCCGTCGAAGGATCAGCTTGGATCAACTGGATGTGTCTTGGTTGAATTGAATGGACGTGTCTTGATAGGAGTTTGAAAGGATATGTCTTAGCTGGATTGAAGGAAAGCGTCCTGATTGAATGTGATGGTTTAGTGTTTTATATCTTGTCTGAGAGGCCAATACGACGTGTTCAAAAGGCATCTCAGCCTAACTATATTCTCGATGTCCAATGTTTGAAAAGCTTCCATTCTGTTTTGCATGCATGAATCATTAGCAAAGCCATATCCAAAATGTTTACACATGTGGGTAATGTTGTTATCGAGATATTAGTCATCACATCACATTGGGGCATAATATTTCCTTAAAAAATGCAGAAAATGAAAAACGATCTGTTATTTGGTACCTTTTGGATAATGGTATGCCCTATAGATTATATATAATATGTTCAGTATAGTATTGGATGACGTCCCGTCATAATCAACATTCAAATATTTGGATTGCTTGATTTATATTTAGACGGGGGCTGTTTTTAAAGACACCCCCATTTTATCTTTCAAAAAACATTGTGTCCAGATATTCAAGGTGGCACTGTCTACAATATATTGAGAGCTGACACTTGAGTGACCATTCGGTGTTTCGTTTGAACCCTTGGCATCATGTATGAGTAAGTGAAACCATTAGAATAAGTTATGTCCTTATGATTACGTCATCTGAAAGGGGTGGGTGGGTAGTGCCTCCAAAGCCAGCTCTTTCAGTTAACACGAAGGGGGAGTCACATTAACAAGCGATTGTAGGTTCAAATTGCTTTTTTATGCACTTTAATATCTAAGTTTGATTCTAGCGGACTTCTGCCTATCTCAGACATCGAAAATGTTCCTTTCATGTTTTGTTTCCTGAGGTTTGTGATTTGTGAGATTTTGCGTTTTTGGGGGGCACCAAGATAATAAGTCAAACAATATGGGGATCGTGAGGCTGGAACTTAGCACAACAATTTTGCTTGAGGTTGACAGATAATATGTAGAAAAATATAGCATTAAAACAGATGTATTTGTATCATTTTCTAGGTGAGGCTGAATACCTTTTGAACGCATCTCGTATGTATCACGTCCTTAATTGTAATGAATACATTTTGCCGAAACAATGGCACTAATAGCAAGCATTACATAATTCCAAAATATTGGTTTCTTCTGGGTTTGGTATTAAATACATACAACAAGAAGACAAAGTCATCAATATCCCGAGCAATGGTAAAATACTCTTTATGCATATGTCTACTAGTTATGACTATGTAAAATGTTTTGGCGTGTATATAGCAAAGTGGAAGAACTACCCCCAAATTCAGTCGAAGCCAAACCTGTTGCCATGGAAACGTAAATATTAATCCAAAGCTACCAAAAGGCACCTGTTTAACACCAGACCTAACTATGTGCAAAGTTTGGTGAAGAAATAGTTAACGGTTTTAAAGTTCTGCTCCGGAAAAGACGAATGTGCGCGGACGGACGGACGGACGGTGTCCATTGTTCCCCCAGCAAAACGCGTTGCAGGGGATAACAAAAGATACCACATTAAGGAAGGTATAAAGTCTTTAAACTGTAGCAATTGTCACTATGAGGACCGAGACAACTGGGTATCCAATACCAACGGTTGCTCTGATTTGTCTTACCACGTGCAAAAGTTGAGTCAAGGGTGAGCCGATTAGATAGGCAAATAAAGTTAGAAGGTTAGGGTGCGGGATCCAAAGCCTATATAGTGTATGACTTGTACGGACCTGTGTCCCTTGACTGAACATAGGAAGGTAAGGACATCTTTGTTTTTCAGAAGCCACAGAGATGGACTTCAACCCTTGCTCCAATGTGAACAATCGAACCAGGGCCTTCTTGCCTTCCGGAGTCCGGTTAATGGCGTAATGACCAAGGCAGACCGGAGATAAATCTAATGTACTCTCTTTTTACAAGAACTACATTGCACATTATGTTACTTCCCCATATTAGTTCCTCTGACCGTAGAAACATTATTCAGCGTAAACATCGAACATGGCCAACATACTTATACCTGTAGACCTATAGCGTGCTTTGTCGGCAGAATTGTCCTTTATCCCTTGTCCTCGTACATGTTGATGTTGAAAGTGAGGTGTGTTTTCCTTTCAGTCACGATGAACGTGTTCCACGTGGCGGCAGTCCTGGCGGTGGGGTCGGCGGTGGACGTCACCCTCAACAACCACTGGAACGGAGGCTTCCAGGCAAAGGCCTGCATTGGTATCACAAAGGAACTGCACTCCTGGACAGCACATCTTCGTTTTGACCAAGCCGTCGACAGCATTGACGTAAATAACTCGTTGCAAACGTAAATAGATTTCAAGTGACTATTTTGCCTACATATTTATACACTTTTTTAATCGTATTCCCATATAAGCTATAACCAATCATACCACAGCAAGACGTGGGATGAAAGTGGGTCTCAAATGTTACCATGTGCACTGCAAGAGCTGACAAGTTCAGATCTCATCCAACTACTTTCCACAACGAAAGGATCATGACAAGATCTATACAGAGGGTCTCGATTCTCTTGTATCGTGCTACATAGTAACATATACATATTTTATTGTAAAACATATGATTGGGATGATCAGGTGAATGCTTTTGAAACTATCTGACGTCATTATGCATATTCCGGCTGATCAGAGAGATCTAGATCATTGTTATTCTCTACCTTTGTCCTTAAATGCCATCGATCCTGCGGCAAAGGCAGCTGCAGTTTGTCCAGCTACGTCACTTCCGGGTTTTGAAGGGGTGATCTTAAACGCGGGTCTGGCCATTTTCATGTCTTCCGGTCGTCCCCAGAAACTGTGGTCTGCCCCTCCGTTTCCAACCTTCGATATACAGCAGACACTTGTAAACGCAATGTAGCGAAGAACAGATACGTTCTTTCATATTTGGCGTTTAAGAGTTCCATTTGGTTGTGTGGAACTTGAGGAAGTAGTTGAGCGGCCATTGGGAGACTCATCTGTACATAGAGTTCTAGGAGACGCCCTGTACATAGAGATCCAGGGGACTCATCTGTACATAGAGTTCTAGGAGACTCCTCTGTACTGTAGTTCACAGGCCCGTGAGTTGAATTAGCCCCCAGAAAAAGGCGACTAACGTGATCGATTGGTCGTATCCCATTACGTACATCGATGCTCATGCTGTTGACCACTGGATTGTCTGGTCCAGACTCGATTATTTACATAAAGCAGAATATTGGTGAGTGCGGCCGTAAACAACAAACCAAATAGCAAGTTCTAAGGGACTTACCTGTACATAGAGTTCGTCTTGGCTGTGTGACACTTAAGGAGGTAGTCGAGCGGCCACTTGATGCTGTCCAGCATGTTGTCGTACTGGCCGGACTCCACGTACGCCTCCTTCCACTGCAGCAGACTCCAGGTGAGGATGGTGGTGGACCACGACATGGGGAAGTTGAACTTGACGTGGTCACCAGCTAGGAAGACATGGACAGATTCACCAACCGTAACACTTCTGCTTAGTTAAAATTCAACAATCAGTAGCAGGACAAGACCAAACATCCATTCCTTCCCCCTTTCCCTTGACACATTTGAGGTTGTCACCAGCTCAGAGCATGATGGTGTTGATATCACATGTTTAGGGACGCAATTTACTTGACAACATCTCAGCAACGCTCCCTTCAACAATCGTTGACGTCATTATGCGATTTCATCTGATGGCCTTATTTATAAGATACTGACAAATTGCACGATGTACAGTTCAGTGGAGATACCGCCTAAGCGACAAGATAACCTGGATGTGAATTCGTCTTGATAGAAAGAGACACATGGATTGTCAAGTGGCAATAGAACTTCGTACCATCCTACCATCCTCCAGTGAGGTCCTCCCCATTATCTCCCTTGTCTCCTAGGGCGGAGTCTCCTCTCCAGGGGATGGGGTTGTTGGCCGCAAGTTTGCCTGACCTCTGAGCGTCATAGAACAGAATGGACTTGTAGAGGACTTCGTCGTAGTTGTACTTGGTGCCTTCGGCTGTTTATAGGATAGGTAAGCTGTTAAACATGTGTTTACTTGTGAAAACAGGAATCTGTAGATCACCTGCAATTAAATAATAATTTGCATAACTGACATATTTGTTTGAGATTTGCCTATTCTTACTTCTTTATATTTACTTCCTTGGCACTATTGCTGGATTGTCATATAGGTTCACTTATAAACATGCCTCCCTTCTTATACATTCATGGGTTATGTGAGAAGGCACTTGCTGTTTTTGACATTAGGGAATCCATTGTCGTCGTGGCCGAGGTTGGTGAGTGTAGCAACAGCAGATGGGGCGGACGACGCCTGTGTGTTGCCGAAGAAGCGGAGTTTGATGGTGTCCCCTTTGTCAAAGAAGACATGATCCTGCTTGTTGATGACCACCCAGGTTTTACCATCGGCAGACTTTTTGTATACATCAGCTACCCACATCTGTATATCGTACACATGAGTTAAAAGAAATACGTTGGCTATAACATTGACTTTCACCCAATAAAGTCATCATCATCATCATCATCATCATCATCATCATCATCGCTACTCAATCATTCTTTTGATATCATTATCACTACTTAATCTTTCAATAATATAATCCCCATGAAGAATGATTATAACAGACAGTTGGGGAGAACATGCATCTTCATGTTACATCGTGGGAAGAAATTTACAATGAAAGAGAACCCATACACATGTTGTTACACTACGAAACTCTATACGGTTATTGTATCCACAAACTTACATCCAGTTTGTCCACAGGCTCTGAAAAGTTGATGGCTACTTCCCACCCCTCTATCCTCTGGTGGACAGGAAAACTAAATTCGGCTTCGAATCTGTTACCCCAGTCGTTGTATATCTGCATCTTGTTGGTGATAACTTCCTCACCGCCACCAATACCGGTGCCTTATAACAGCATGCATGTATTTTGAAAGATATATTTTCTTGACAATGTTCAAAGTCTCACACATTTCAGAACATAATTATAACGACTGCTATTCTGTGTTAGCATAGTATGAAAGTAACATAGTTAAACACCACAAATCCTATCAAAGTTATGAAATGGTTATTTCATAAGAGACATTTTAATTCGAATACTGTGGATTGGGTGGCTGGTTGTGACTTGCTGGTATGTCAACCTCCTCTGTCAATGGATCTGAACTACAAGTCTTACTTCAGGTTAAGCTACACGACACCAATGAAGCCCATTTCTGGTGTCCCCTGCCGTGATATTGCTAAAACATTGCTAAAAGCGGCGTAAACGTAATCTCACTCACTCACTCACTCACTCTACGCGACAACAGCTACATATAGATGGAGGCAGATATTGAAGACTGATTATTTCCCTGAACTTCGGGAGACATTGTTTGATACCTGATGTCACAAAAGGAGCTGACGTGGCGCCGACGCCGGACGTTGCACCGATGCCGGGTGTCTGCCCACTACTTCCTGGAAGTAGGGAGTTTTGTGGTCCAGCCGTAGGCGGCTGATCAGTAGGACCGTCCATACCGGCGATGTAGACTGTGGCGGAAGGGATAATATTGCCATCCGTTTTTCCCAGAAGGTTGATACAGATCTGGGAGCCAACATGTTCTTCTTTGTTCCAGTCTTTGTTGTGCATGATGAACTCAGTGTTGTTGTTTCTGGTCTCCACAATTTCAGCAGCTTGTTGCACCTTCAGATATATATATATAGCATCGCTAGTCCGGATAATCATTGTGGGTAGGATATCAACATAGCAAAATGTCACCCCGACGTGACCTTGACATGTTATTATAGGTATTAATGTTTTTTATAGTTTATAGTTTTAGTAGTTTATATCACAACTAATCTGTCTGAAAATAATTTCACCAGGACCAGACGATCCAGTGGCTGACTTCGATCACCACAACTGGGGTACGATGACACACATCCAGCGAGCACGGTGTCCCGATCCTGTTAACCGTCTCTTACTACAAGCATGGGTCCAAGCCTGTGCATTTTTACTTGAAACGCTACTGTCCAAAATACCATATTTCCTCTAGGTACCTAGACGCTTCTAATCATATCCACATGACTAATTTACCCTAAAGTCACCACAGTAATCAATAGCACCAACATGTTTTGCGTCCGTACTTGTGGAACGCAATAATAACTGGTCAGTGTATATTAGACGTTGAACGAGCCTTGTTTATGGTGTAAATTGATAATACGTACATCAAGTGACTTGATTGACTGGTCAAAGATGACATAGGCTATGACATCCGATACAAAACTGACCATTAAACCCTCCTTCCCAATGTCCAGTTATCTTAACCTCTGATTCGGCGTGCCCATTCGCCAGCAGCAGCAGTAGCAGCAACAGTCTCATCGTGGAGTTGAATGTTCAGATGACCTGTATGTAACCATATACTGTGACACATGTGACATATAGCTGCTTCACATCATAGTGGTGATGCAAATTTTATTCCACCTCTGACAGGTTCGTATATTCAGAAAATGTCATTATTTTTCATATGTAGTATAAGTATTTCTTCCTTAAGTGGCATTTAGAAGCTGGTATGATGAAGTGAAACACTTTTATAGATAGACAACTTCTTTGATGCAGTAGTAGTTGCGACGTTTCGGTGTAGATCCTAACACCGTTATCAAGCAAATGATCATCATGTAGATCCTAACACCGTTATCAAGCAAATGATCATCATGTAGATCCTAACACCGTTATCAAGCAAATGATCATCATGTAGATCCTAACACCGTTATCAAGCAAATGATCATCATGTAGATCCTAACACCGTTATCAAGCAAATGATCATCATGTAGATCCTAACACCGTTATCAAGCAAATGGTCATCATGTAGATCCTAACACCGTTATCAAGCAAGCAAATGATCATCATGTAGATCCTAACACCGTTATCAAGCAAATGATCATCATATAGATCCTAACACCGTTATTAAGCAAATGATCATCATGTAGATCCTAACACCGTTATCAAGCAAATGGTCATCATGTAGATCCTAACACCGTTATCAAGCAAATGGTCATCATGTAGATCCTAACACCGTTATCAAGCAAATGATCTTCATGTAGATCCTAACACCGTTATCAAGCAAATGATCTTAATGTAGATTCTTGCAGTTATCAAGCAAATGATCTTCATGTAGATCCTAACACCGTTATGAAGCAAATGATCTTCATGCAAATCCTAACACCGTTATGAAGCAAATGATCTTCATGCAGATCCTTACACCGTTATCAAGCAAATGATCTTCCGAAACGTCGCAACTAGTGGATATCTACTGCAACAAAGAGGTTGTCTCTGCTGTTAAGAGGAACGTGCGAATGCAAGTCGTTATAGTTGATCATTTAAACATGAAATCACCAAATACATTGCTGTTCACTGATATATGACGGTAAACTGTTCATCGACAGTACATAATATGATAATTGAGTAATATCAGCACATTTTTATGCTCTCAGGTGATGCAGCATTCGTCGCTCTGGTGGCTGCTGATGCTGGACTTGACACTGCAACGTACAGGAAGTGGGCAGTTGAGCAGATCAACTACATCCTCGGGGACAACAACTACGGCATCAGCTACCAGATCGGCTTCGGCTCCAAATACCCGAGGAGTCCCTCATCACAGATCCGCGTACGTTCTTTCACCTCAAGACATGCTGGCAGTAGTATCATTTTGAACATTTCTGAACACATCATTGTGAATAATAATTGATGAGACAATTATGTTTGTTTGTTGCACACCCACAGGAAGAATCGTGTGTATAGTTCCTGTAACTTACCATTGACCTTATTCTCACACTCTCGATGAAACACCATCGTTGTATGAAGGGAATTATCTTCTTGCAAGATGAACAATACACAATGGCTACAACTGGACAAGGCTATGAAGAAAACTACTTCATTAAATATCCAATAACAAATTTATGATTTCCCAATCATCACATTCGTGTTCAAAACAATATTCAATGTCATAAATCTTCATGGACTCCAAGCTGTCATTCGACAATAACCATTACACGACGATCTTCACTCCAGTTCCTGCCCCGACCGTCCAGCTCCCTGCACAGAGGCCAACCTACACGCTTCCGGTCCCAGCCCCCAGCTCCTTGTGGGCGCCATAGTGGGAGGCCCTGGTAAAGATGACTCCTACAAGGACAACAGGGAGGACTACGTCCACAACGAGGTAGCCTGCGACTACAACTCAGGGTTCCAGTCTGCTCTAGCTGGTAAGTATGTCGACTCAGGTGTGAGGTGCAACCGGAATTGAAGGAAATCGAAAAGTTCATACAAAGATTAAGACTGCACGTCCAATGTCGATTTTTTTAATGTTGGTAATTTATTACAATTTCTGTAACAGAACCTGATTATTAGATTTAATCATTTAGGTTAATTATGCTTTTAATTAACACAAATATTTTACTTCAGGTCTCACTCATCTTGTCAACACCAAGGAGCTGCCAGCCATTCCCGCACCAAAGTGTCATGGTTAAAAATATTTTTCTGTGAATAAAAAATATTCATTGAATTGTCCATGTACTGTTGTTAAGTTATGGTCGATCGGTATAAATTTGAAAAAATTAATGACGTAAAGGCACGAAAGATCACATGAAAAGCTTATTTCATAGGTTCTGGTAAACATTTGCTATTGTACGTGCGAGTTATGTTTGCTTTATGTCTTGTATCTGTTTGTTGTTAGTTGTTTTACGCCGCACTCAGCAATATTCCAGTTTTATGGCAATAATCGAGCCTGGACCAGACAATCCAGAGATCAACAACATGAGTCAACATATGTTATATTTGGGATTACACTTTCTCAGTAAAGTACAGAATCTAGTACTTTTAGGGGGTTGAGTTTAGGCGTCTGACTTTGTGTGCTGGCGATTAGGTCCCTGACTCTGAGGGTGTGGGTTCGAATCCCGGAGGGACTCAACCCCCCCAAAAGTACTAGAATCTGTACTTTACTGAAAAAGTGTAATCCCTTCTAAAATGGCATTGTGTATTTCACAACATGAGTCAACCAAATCAGTGAGGTAGACCAATTGATCCGTTTTGTCGCCTCTTAAGACAGGTGTGGGTTGCTAAAAACGAGTTTTCTATAAATCCCTAATTTGTCAACACAAACACTGATAGAGAAACGTTAATTAACTGATACACTTTCAATTCAAAACAATTTTAAACATAGCAAAGCACACTTGTACTAGTTCAGTGCATAATTTTGAATTGCAGAATCGGAAAATCCATTCCATTTCGGTAGCAACCATTAGGTTTTACTGGAATTTATCGAAAAGCCGACTGGTTTCTGAGAATCGGTTCGAAAGGCGTGTTCAGTAACAGGAACGCGAGTGGTGAGCGCTGAGCGTACATGTTCTACCGTCTTTTTAATCACTGTGCGAACCCACGCGTGCTAATATACGCTGGCCCCGCAGTGGCACTATATAGGACCATGTTTCCTCCGTCCACTCGTACTTCATTTCCAGACAATAGCTGAGCAATAGCGCTCACATACATGAGTTACATAGCGCTGACGTGTATTACTATTTCAGTAAGGGAATCCCGATTCAAAATGGCGCCGCTCACATGCGAGAGATAAACTGAGATGTTTGATGGCTTGCAAATATGGCTATTTCGATAACGAAAATAGTGCGCATTGTAGGTTTAAGTACAAAGACGTGATACATATAAGTTTTTCATGCGTAATAATCGTAACGGGTGCACGAAAGTGTGACAAAAGATATCCTCTATTGCGGCCTATAGAGGAGCTTCATAGCATATGTGGGCGCTATGTATCTTAGCTGAGACTTGGGTAGACAGGACAAAGACCTTTGATGTGAAATGGTATTATACTGGAGATGAGAGTGCCGTATTTACGATGCGAGTACCAATCTCCGACAGAGGTCTGGTAACCGTGATGCTCTTGAAATCAGCTTCACACGCACGCAAGCACGCACGCACGCACGCACGAACGCGCACACACACATCATCAAACGTCCATCTCATTAAAGTTCTCAGGTGCCTTCAAGGTTTGGTTTTAAAAGGCTGTTCTTGTTAGCAAACAACACTAAACTTCTGTAACATTTCAAGTTTGCTTGTATGCTATAGGCCTTCAAGGTAGACATCATAACGCTATTGTTTTGAAGCCATTTTCTGCAGCATATGCTCAGAAATTTGATATCTGATTTCTCTAAAACAAAGGCGTATTGTGAACATGTACATAATGAGTATGTGGCACCCACTCCTAAAAAATCCAGTTCTGTTCCCTGCTGTAAATATACTGAGTCAAAAAAGAAACTTCACAAAATGTAATTTGAAACATAATGAATAATTTGTCTCTGATGATACATCTATGTATCCGAAATGGTATCCCTATCCTTCGACTCTAGAAAAACGTTAGCAAAACCCACTCAAACCCATCCATTCGTCGTGCAAATCTTTGCATCGAAGTTTTCTTCATATGCACGTCTTTGCATTGGTCTCAAGAATTGAAAAAAACACATTTAAACCACAGTTCTAACGGTACTTGAAATGCCACGATTGTCAAATGTGCGACGTGAACGTGCCGTTGGCATGTTGCAAGCGGGAAGATCAGTTATTGACGTCGCAAGAGCAACGGGATGCAGCCGTCATACTGTGTATGACTTGCAAGTTCGTCTACAACAAACTGGCACCACTTCTGATCGCCCAAGGTCGGGTCGTCCACGTGTGACGTCACGAGCAGAAGACCGTCAAATCGTCCTACGTCACCTACGTGACAGATTTCTGCCGGCTACACAAACCAGGGCTGAGATGTTTAGATGACGACTGTCCTCACAGACCATTCGAAAACGGTTGCGGGCTGCCAATCCCCATTCTCGACGTCCATATCGTGGGACAATATTGACGCCGTTTCATCAACGTCAACGTCTGCTGTGGGCCCAACGTCACCTCCGATGGACCCAGAGAGACTGGAATCGAGTCGTCTTTAGCAATGAATCCAGGTTTACCCTCAGATTCGCGGACAGCAGGCATAGAGTCTGGAGACGACGTCGTGAACGGTATGCCCAATGTTGTGTACAGGAAGTCGACAGATTCGGGGGCGGAAGTTGCATGGTGTGGGGGTGCTTTCTGTGGGAACAACCGTTCCCGACTTCTGGTCATCCGTGGAAACCTCACAGCTGCTGCTTACTGGTGCTCACCCCTGAACTCGTTCCTTTCATGGCGGCTCATGGCCCAGGTCGACAGTTCCAGCATGATAATGCTCGGCCGCATACCGCGATGTTGACACGAAATTTCCTTGAAAACGCTCGAATCAACGTCATGGACTGACCATCGAGATCCATTGACCTTAATCCAATAGAGCACGTTTGGGATGCACTTGGGAGGAGGCTTCGTGGTCTTAGGAACCAACCTCAGAATTTGCAGGAACTTGGCGCAGAATCCCCAACCACGTGTTGACAAGCATCAGGCAGTCGATGAGGAGACGATGTTTGGCAGTGGTGAATGCGCAGGGCGGCAATACACGATATTGAACTGAGAAATTTCGCATTTTTATTCTTGTGACTTGACATTCTGTATACCCATGTTTTGGAACGGCGGTGTAGTCTAATGGAACTGATTATGGCACTGTCAGTGTATCGAGTACATCACACACATCTCAGCAATGAAATAATAACAATGTCACCATCTTACCATCTCTTGTTCTTTTATAGTGCCCTGAAGAAAGAATGTGAAGTTTCTTTTTTGACTCAGTATATAAGACTTAGTACATTAAGTACGGCAATGTGTCTGCAGTAAATGATGGACAACGTTCCATCAGTAAATGCAAGGCTACCTTTATTTCAGTACATGTAATGGATATGTCCTTTCAGTTATTTCAGTAACTATATTCCAGGAATCTCATCAATTCTTTTTCGTACTGGGAAAGTGGGCTAGGTGAACTAGCTATCACCACTGCATGAACAGATCTGACCTGTCTATGGCACATATGGCCTACATTTATATTGATAAAGTACATCTGGACTCACAAAGGCTTGGAATCATCCGTCAGTGGAATTTGCCAATACCCTTTCATTAGGTTAAACGTTCTGATGTACTTAACGTGACTGATCGTGACGTCATCGATTCTTGGGAAAGAATCAGTTTGAGAAAGAACGATCACAAGTTCCATGTCTGAAAAGTATTTATAACTACCATCATGCTTACACACAAAAATACCGGAGGAACTATTGTTTGGTTCAACATCTATTGACCTTCCTTCGTGGAGGTTTCAAGCTGATCGGATCAATAGCATAGGGATGTTGTTTCACATGGTGTCACCTATATCTACATCATGACACGCTCAATCTGCACGGCCAGATATAACCATACACAAGTGAACAAACTCTTAAAAGAATCTCGAAGCTTGAAGAAGATGATAAATGATTTGTACTAATTTCTCTTCAGAATTGATTATCTTAGTCAGCTTAGTCTAGAAAAAGCAGAAAGTTATTAAAAATTTTCATTACAATTCTCAGCCGTATCTCAGACTGATACATTAAGTGCAGGACCAATAGTGGCAATACTCTAAATAGAAACATTCCATTTCTTTCTAGTTTTATTGGCATGTCAAAGCTGTATCATTTTACGATGGCCTAGTGTTAGCACAACATAGTCAGTTACATAACTTTCTGATAAAAAAACATATGGCCCGTAGCAGTCGTAGTTGACCGGGGAGTGCCGATAACGCTAGGAATTTATCACCCGGCTGTCATGTTTACCTTTATCATGATGATTAGACAAATAGCTGGAATAGTGCTGAGTGTGACGTTATCATTATGAATTCTTTTCATTTTGTCCATTTCTATTAAATTACCCATAGCAGCCTCACAAACTCCCAAAGCCCAAACCAAATGATAAAACATTCACTAACAAACCCATCTCAGAATTAACATGAGGCAAGACCAAAAGGATTATAAACATAGTCCTTCACAGCAGAAAACATATGAGGACCTTCACCCTATTCCAACCCGGTAAGCATATTTCAAGGGCCAAGATCACTTGAGGGATCAAAATTTGATTGTGCTTCAACATGCTGGGGAAAACAAGAACCACACATAAAAAATTTCTTTAGAGTACCCCTGTAGGTACAGCAATATATGTTCATTACGGAATGGCGTGACTGGACATGAGGTCGCACCTGCGGTCTTGTACGCCATATATTACTGCAACACAGTCACAATGGAAGAACAAACTAGCTTGTCTATACAGATTCAAGGAAAGTATTCAGGAATTCGGGAAAGTATTTGACAAAAGTTTGATTTGGATTTGGTATTTTAGATATGAATCCATTACTAAATCGCACAACTTTCTCTGCTAAGAGATATGTTTATACATGTACTTGCTCTTCTAAGAATGTTGAAAGACATATTCACCACTGAAATATTCATTTCCAGAAGAAATAATACTTTTGAAAGCTTCTCAACCAAATGGTTGCCTCTCTTACCAGTATTTAATAATGAATAACTATTTAATGGAATAACTGTTCAATGGTCAAGCTTGCTTCCTAGGCTGGCTATCCATATTCTCCTAGCAGCACCAATCGTCGAGCTTCCTAGGCTGGCTATCCATATTCTCCTAGCAGCACCAATCGTCGAGCTTCCTAGGCTGGCTATACATATTCTCCTAGCAGCACCAATCGTCGAGCTTCCTAGGCTGGCTATACATATTCTCCTAGCAGCACCAATCGTCGAGCTTCCTAGGCTGGCTATCCATATTCTCCTAGCAGCACCAATCGTCGAGCTTCCTAGGCTGGCTATCAATATTCTCCTAGCAGCACCAATCGTCGAGCTTCCTAGGCTGGCTATCCATATTCTCCCAGCAGCACCAATCGTCGAGCTTCCTTGGCTGGCTATCCATATTCTCCTAGCAGCACCAATCGTCGGTCGAGCTTCCTAGGCGTGGCTATCCATATTCTCCTAGCAGCACCAATCGTAGAGCTTCCTAGGCTGGCTATCCATATTCTCCTAGCAGCACCAATGGTCGAGCTTCCTAGGCTGGCTATCCATATTCTCCTAGCAGCACCAATCGTCGAGCTTCCTAGGCTGGCTATACATATTCTCCTAGCAGCACCAATGGTCGAGCTTCCTAGGCTGGCTATCCATATTCTCCTAGCAGCACCAATCGTAGAGCTTCCTTGGCTGGCTATCCATATTCTTCTAGCAGCACCAATGGTCGAGCTTCCTAGGCTGGCTATCCAGGTTAAAAGTAACCATCTTCATAGACAAGTCGTCTTGATGTCATGCGGGTCCTTGTCACTTTAATTTGTGTAGGTCTTTCCAGAACATTATGTAACATGCTAGATTAGACAATACTTGGTAGATCTATGTTGTTCAAGAAGCTTCCAGATTACACGTGACCCCCTTATCGACATACAGCAACAAGCACATCACTGACCTACAATTCGAGAGAAAGAGTGTTTCACAATGAATTGCACTACCACAAAACAACTTGCATTTATTTTACAGCTGCCTGGTTAGGCAGGATACGCTAGCTTTTTCGTGAACACATTTCAATACCAAGAGGTGGTTAATATATGTACTTCCAGACAATGAAAGGTAATCGTACTTGGATTAGACAACAACAATTACAAAGGTTAGAAAAAAACACTTAATGTTCAATGATTATAGCACTAGTAAAATGCTATCGATTCCTAGCTGGTTGCATATTTAGCCTGCACCAAACATAGGTCTTTACATACATTAACATCTTCATTGCAACCTGAATCGTATAACTGTCTTGAATGAATTTTGTCGCTTTCCATTATCACAACCTTTTCAAAAGAGTTTTGTTTGTTGTTTTACGCCGCACTTAGCAATATTCCACCTATATGGATGCGGTCTGTAATTATTCGAGTCTGGACCAGACAATCCTGTGATCAGCATCGATCTACGCAACTGGGGTACAATGACAATGACAATGTGATAATCTCCTAAGGAACGTCACATCGGGTTGTTGTCCCTCAAACGGCGTTTTACACTAGGAACGTAGATTTCTGTTTCCGAAGAATATGTTTTACTGTAATTAATTCGTTTATACTCGTGGAGCTACAATGGATCATTTTTACTCGATTTTTAGTCTGACAACAGCTATTCCGGATACTCATGCACTGCTTACATTTGCCAAGAAAACACTGCATATGCTTCAATAGGTAGCCCTAGACGCTATCAGAAGCCATGACGGTCACCCACCCAAATACTCGGAAGGCCCGGCTTTGCTCTACATCAAAATAATTGTGGAAATAATGAATTTTGTCGTTGACATTAAATCACCACATTCATGCCCCTCCTACACAGCTCTGATGGGTCTTCGTTATTGTACCAATGGCATAATTCACTGAGTCATTATGAGCCTGCATGCAATCATCAATGAAATACACATGCCACTGTTAACCACGGGCAATGTCTTCCTGTGCAGTCAGTGTTCCTTTCCAGATCCAATGGGAGTGTATTTGCTTCAGTGTGGGGGAGGACCAAAGACACTCATGCTGCCAAACATTGCTCACATGATTTGTGGCATGTGCCGTGTACACAGACTCACGTTTGGCCACGCCCACGCTGTGGCAAATCCTTCAACATTTTTAATTTTACAAACGGTTCTAAATGTGTATGATACTTTTAAACGTTCTTATGTAAAGCGACTTTGGTCTACGTGTTTCATTGTTATTGGTGAGTGATAAGTAGCTTACAAGATAAGACGGGTGCTTGGTAACTATTTGAGGCGAGGTGGGACGACTACAGTGTCTATTGTAGCCTTGTAACAGGTCGGAAGGCAGGAGGTAAGCCTGTGTATACAGTGTATGTTTCAACTGCTAGGTTTTCACGACTGATATACGAATTATTCTGTGGCACGCATGCTTGCCATGTCACTTCTATCACAGGACACCGAGATCATGGTTAAAGAAGTGAATGTATGTTATCGAACATCTTCATCCCGTGTATGCCTCAAATGAAATACCATCTCTCAAAACAGCCGATTTGGTTCTTAGGATCTGTAATATATGAAAATTAAGCAAAAGATTTAAACAGTATTCCGACAGATATCGGTTGTTAGATGTTTACGAACAATGTTATGGTATTTGACCAAATATCGACAGCATGATTCGACTCTCTCATGTGCTTGTGTTCATCAACCACTATCAGATAAGGATGGTAGCAGGTGGTAGCCATCCTGCAACAGCTCCGGGTTACAGGTAAGGATACCACTGATGGGAAATGATGGTTTGTCATGTTTTAAGGAGTGTTAGTCTAATATCTAAACTCCCGTCAGTCTCTGGCACAATCTGGTCTTCATACGTCTTGAAGCACCATATTATGAAAATACCATTATGGGTGAAGGACTTGCCTTTATTAATAATGAACCTTTAGAAACACATACGCATTTGGCCATATCAGACAAAACTAAATGTTTATTTATAAAAAGGAAAGACTTAGGTTTGGAGCAACCTCAACAAAGGTGAGACATTTAATGTAGCAGTAGCAAACATGCATTCGGAGACTACGTGAGGTATATAGCTGATTCCATATTGCGGTAAGATACCATACCATCGATGGGAGAGAGGTGCGACATGTTTTGGATAGCATTGCCTACCTCTAGTTTATCTATATATAGACAGATTGTTTGGCAGTTATGTAGACACAATGACACTGTGTTTATCGGAGCTTCAGATTTCTATGCTTCTATCTGTGGGTCAGTCTTACATCGATCTCCTTCACAACACATGTCCAGTTTAGAATGTATGGAAGATAAGGCATGTGAGGATTAGTTCCCGCCAATTTGGAACACATAAATTAAAAAAAAATAATATAACTATATTTATTGTTATTCCCCTAACTGTTTATGTTTTCAGACATACGTATTGTTGTGGAAATGTGTAAACTGAAACATTTAAAACAGATATTTAAAACACATTTTTCCAGAAAATATGTTAGGATCTGCAATGCCAGATTAACACAATGGAGCGGGTTTGATTGTCCTTGCTAACGGAAAACGCAATTACCTTATCAACAAATAGCGGTGACATTAGCAGCATGTGGCCATTATTACATGGCTCTTCAAGGCCATCCGTCTACAGATATGGATTAATGTGGGACACCTTGATGACATATGTAAACGTTGATGTTACACCCCTGACAAACATGTATAATATGTCCAACAAATTGATATTTACGCATAATGACCCAGAAAAACTCACATCAACGAAAGTTGTGGATGAGTGAGCTGGGTGCAACGCTGCTTTTGCACATATTTTGGAATGAGTATCAGTGATATCCTTTGACTGACTGACTGACTGAGTTTGGTTTTACCCCGCTTTTAGCAATATTCCAGCAACATCACGGCGGGGGACACCAGAAATGGGCTTCACACATAGTACCCATGTGGGGATTCGAACCCGGGTCTTCGGCGTGACGAGCGAACGCTTTAACCTCTAGGCTTCCCCACCGCCCCGATATCCTTTGATATCCAGTGATTTCAGAATGTTTGCACTCGCAGTATGCTTTGTGTAACAAATACGGGTGTTACGTGAGTCGTGTTTCCCACCAACGTGATGTCAGATACAATCTAATTGTGACTTAGGCCAGATGTCCCTGTTCAGGTGAAACAATCTCACGTCATTGCAAGTGTTTATGATGGGCTCTGCCGGTGGGGCAGAATCCGCTCACGTATTTCTTGAACACCTGGTGTCGTTACTACTTGATAGTGATTCATAGACACATGCTGATGTCATTTCTCTCGGAATTATACTCTGTTTTAAGTAGATTTTATCGTGATTATTAGAAATGTTTATTTGTTGCTTTTATTGAAACATAAACGAAGGATAATCTAGATTGTATTTTCTGTTCTTCAGACATCATGCTGGTGTTGGTATTGGCAGCTCTAGCGGCTGCAGCTTCGGCAGCAAGATACAACTATGGCGAAGCTCTTGGCAAGTCCATCCTGTTCTATGACGCTCAGAGATCCGGCAAACTTCCGGCCAACAACCCCATCAAGTGGCGAGGTGACTCCGCCCTGGGAGACAAGGGGGGATAATGGGGAGGATCTGACCGGAGGCTGGTATGATGGTCAGTAGTTCTCTGGACTCTGTTTGGTTATACATGTATTTAGAACCCATAAACACTGTCCAAGTCAAAATGATCGAATTAAAATAGGGAATTTATATTCCTTTGTCAATGAAGTTTGAAACTCTGAAATGTCCTTTTCGAACACCATTTCGTATTTTAATCACTTGACGTTGTTTGGACACTTGGTATAATGAGCATGCTGGATTTACCTCAAAAAGTTGTGAGGAGACTTTTGGGTTCAGCTTCCCCTTATTTTTCTGTAAGTTATGACTCTCTGGTACTTTTCCGTGTCCTCGTTAAAAAGAGACTTTGAACTACAAAGGTTCTCTAACTGGCAGGCCCTCTATACCGCCATTTTTGCCGGTCCCAATGCATGCCGGTTTAGAGGGCTTCCAATCAATTTACTCTTCCTCCAGCCGGTGACCACGTCAAGTTCATTAGCTTGCCCATGTCCAGCTCCTCCACCCTCCTGCTGTGGGGCTACTTACAGTGGAAAGATGCCTATGCCACAACGAAACAAACAGACAAATTCTTTGACATGATCAAGTGGCCCTTGGACTACTACTTGAAGTGCTGGATTCCATCCAGTCAGACGCTGTATGCACAGGTGAGATGCAGTATACCAGGTGTATTCTAAAGCAGGTTTGTACTGATGGGTTTGGCTGAACAATGTGGAATAGATCATAAACTGCACCTTGAGCAATAGATGATGCAAAGTTGCAAATAAAAATAACTCGCTTGTATGTCTGCCGCTATCGCAGTATTACCAGATACAGGGTTAATATGGCTGCATGTCGAAAGTGTGATTGGCCCGTGTTGCAGCATAGAAGGACACCATGTTTACCCCCGTGTGTAATCTGTTTGGGTAGATAATCGTGAGTAACTATTCAACACACGTTGTAAACACACTGATCACTATATTATTTTGTGTTCCCATATTTAGTTTCTGGTTTTAAAAAAGGTTGGAGAAGGCAATGACGACCACCACTTCTGGGGCCGTGCTGAGGACATGAAGATGGCCAGACCCGCCTACAAACTCACACCAAGCAAACCTGGATCAGATGTTGCTGGAGAGATTGCTGCCTCCCTAGCTGCTGGGTATCTGGCATTCAAACAGAGAGGTGAGAAATACGTCCAGGAAATGTATAAGGTTATCAGTATCAGTCCGTGAGTGTTACATTCTTTTCCATATTTTGGTCAGATCTGCATATGGTGAAGCTTATAATAGATAAGCACAGAGCACGTAAAGTACAATTGTAACAATATGTTGTTGAAACATCTGTCCTCTTACCTATAGTAGATGACATACTGATCAGTCATTAGTGGATGTCTTGCTGACATGACAAAATGTTTCCCATGCTAGATCATGCCTACGCAAATAAACTTCTGGCTGCATCCAAGCAAATCTATGCGTTCGGAAAGAAGTACCCTGGAAAGTACAGTCAGAGTATCTCGGATGCCGGCCAGTTCTACTCGTACGTATGGTCTTTGTGCATGTCATTTTCAGAGTGACGCTCTAACCGTACGCATATCAATTCTAACATATGGATATATTCATCCATAGACACGTGCCATTATGCTCGTAGGTATGTTTAGCGATCTTGTGATGTTTAAGGTTACACGTAAAGTATTTCTTCGCACCTGAATGGCATATTGATGTATATAAGCTAATAGCCTACATTTAGAGTGATGGCACACTTCATACCAGTTCAAACCAAGCTCTGAATTCTTCATTTTGCTTTTGAGGAAATACCTAGTCATCTTCTTGAGCTGGAAAGTAACGAATGCTTCGTGTTTCCCCTTAAAGCGCAAATTCTGTAAGCCATATACAGGCGTGTTGTTGGCATCAGAGCTGCAATGGTTGGCAACTACGTTTGTAGAGGAGGAAGGTGACTTGGACACATTATCGCTCTGTGGATGTTGTGATGATCATTATAGGGTATATGGTTGCGATAAGATCACTTATGATAATTCCAAATGGGATAAACGTTATCAAGTGACTGGGCAATTTGACTTGAATCAAGGTCCAGCGGATTATGTTTACCCGATTAAATTAAACAGTTTATGTTGTTCATTTGAATACTATACACTTCTAAGGCCGCAGCCGAACAGAACACATAAAGCCGTGACTTCAACGTTCATTGTTAACTACGGAGGTGGGGTTACATGCAAGGTCACCAAGGAACGCAACTCTAATCGGCTGGCCGCTACCGTCACATAAAGCTGCAGGAGTTGTCTCTCATATATGTATATACCGTAGTGTCCACATACTACAGTTTTCATGAACATTTACTTCAGATCAAGTGATGACAAGGACGAGATGTGTGAGGGCGCCATGTGGCTATACAAGGCAACAAATGACAAGTCCTACCTGGCCGATGCCAAGGGATTCCACGAGAATGCCTGGGCGTGGGCTCTGGGATGGGACGACAAGAAAGTCGCTTGCCAGGTGAAACAAGTCTTTGTCTTGTTCATGTTGAAGGGCAATTTTGTTTTTTGACTGTGTGGTGATGTGTTCACAAGAGTGTTTTCTGTACGACATTTTTGACCAGTGAAGATCCGGTTTAAAATCTTCCTTCAGCAACCATTTCTCGTCGTTAGAGGCACTAACGGCATCGGACGATCAGGCTCTCTGACATGGTTGACAGATGTCATCGCATTCCACTTGCGTAGATCAATATTTATGATATTGATCACTGGGTTGTCAGGTGCAGACTCGATTATTCACAAACCGCCGCCATATTGCTGTAATATTGCTGAGTGCGGCGTTAAACAACATCCAAGCAAACACAACAACCATCGTTATGAAGAGGAACTGAAGCAGGCTACTGGCAGTCAATACATATCTTTCATAACCCAGTTTCGTTGTCACTTATGATGAAGGACAGTAAATGATGTGATACACGTGGCGAATTCTCATGTCGACATTTGACAATGGGGAGACACAAACCTGAATGACCATCCAGAGCTTTGTCCCTATTACATGGTTTATCCACTTACATTTATCAATATGCGTTACGTGTTTCACTGTTACTCAGATGTTCCAAATTAACATAACCAGACAAATGTACACTTAAGACAATGTTGATCAGGTATCTACTAAACCAGGTTTCTCTGTACTTGTGACGAATCCGTGGTGTTTATTCAGACAAAGGGTGATAATGATAATGATGAGTTAAACATGTTTGAACTTTGGATTGGGCGCTGTTTGTGTCAAAATGAATAACATGTTGTTATTGTCTTCTTTTGTTCAGTTCCCCAAAACTAATAAATCAGGGCTACATATTTCCTAAATATTTATATAATATTCACAACATATTTCATTACCATTTCTGAAACAAACAGTGTAACTGGAATTGTATCGTTTTGACTTCTTCAAATAAGGATAATATATAGTAAAAAACCCAGCTTGTTGTGTTGTAAAATTTAGAGAACGTATTAGAGTATGAGCCATATTCCATTAATGTCATGGAAAGGTGATTGAGTGAGTGAGCGCGCGTGTGACTTTAGTTTTACGCCGCACTTCGCAATATTCCAGCTATAAGGCAACGATCTGTAAATAATCGAGTCTATACCAGACAATCCTGTGATCAACAGGATGAGCATCGATCTACGAAATTGGGATACGATCACATGTGTCAACCAAGTCAGCGAGCCTGACCTGCCGATCCCGTTAGTTGCCTCTTACGACAAGCATGGGTAACTGAATATCCATTCTACCCCAGATCTTCACGGGTCTCATGGAAAGGTGGATACTGATGAACACATATATCTAGTGATCTGTATTACATCCATGCTTACCTTACCCTGTCCCTGTATTCAGCTGCTGTTGTACGAGGCTACCAAGGACTCTGCTTACAAAGCGGAAGTGGTGGGTTTCTTCAAGGGCTGGCTCCCTGGTGGCTCCATCACCTACACTCCATGTGGACAGGCGTGGAGAGACCAGTGGGGCTCCAACAGATATGCAGGTCAGTATGACAAATATCGCAGGAGTCCGGGACAGAGTTGAGAAAAACGTTAATGCTAGTTCTAAAAGTGTATTATTTAAAACAGGAAATCACCACGAGGGTGCACTTCGTGAGGATACGTACTCCACTGTGTTCCTGAATAAAAAAGAATGCAAACTTTTATTGTAGGCTGTTTGATCGGCATTAGCCAAAAATACAAAGCTAACAACTTTATGGGTGGCAACTCCTTATTTATTGCACAGATCGACGTTTTGATTCTTCTAGCTTGATAATAGTGTAGGAATCTACGTGAAGACGTCTCTCTATGCCATAAACAAGAAGTTGTCAGCCACACAGTTGTCATCAATCAGCCAAGGGTACCAACTGATGGCTGTTTTCGCCAGTCGTGGTGTCCTCCTCCGTGATATTGCTGGAATATTGCTAAAGGCGGAGTAAACCCCGACTCACTAACTCACTCACTCAAAATAGAGAAGCTGCTATCAGATGCTTCAGAGAAAAGGTGCAGGTGAATTATATCAATATAATGAAATTTGATCAGTTGTACTCATGGCCAAGCTGTACTGGACTAGAAAGTGATCTTCATTGGGTCATAAAGTATATCCGTTTGACACTCTCTGTCACTTGTATCTGCAGCTAACTCTGCCTTTGTTGCGCTGTTGGCTGCTGATGCTGGTATTGACACTGCAACCTACAGGAAGTGGGCAGTTGAGCAGATCAACTACATCCTCGGGGACAACAAGTACGGCATCAGCTACCAGATCGGCTTCGGCTCCAAATACCCCAGGAATCCTCATCACAGATCTGCGTAAGTTGTTTTTCACTGGTGAAACACTGTAAAATTCCATTTTTAACAATAACTCGTGGATGTCTTTAAAAACAAAATTAATGTTTGTTGCTATTGTCACTACATTCTTTTGCACATCCGGGAAGTTTACGGTCCAGACTGTAACTTGCTGCAACCTTATTCGGACGCTGTCAAAGGTGTATTCCATAATTTGCTGCAACTTGAAACTATGTCTTTCAACACAATACTCTTGACTTTATACGGATTTAACCAAAACAATACTTCTTAGTTCCACTTTCTTAAAAATACGTGTGATTAATTAATAATCCTATATCTGTCCGTGAAACACGTGGTTATCAGAAGGTCATGTAAATAAGTGAGTGAGTGAGTGAGTTTGATTTTATGCCGCTTTTAGCAATATTCAAGCAACATCATGGCGGGGGACACCAGAAATGGGCTTCACACATTGTACCCAAGTGGGGATTTGAACCCGGGTCTTCGGCGTGACGAGCCAACGATTTACCCACTAGGCTACCCCACCGCCCCTCATGTAAATCAGTAACATCAGTGCAACAGAATTCCCAGGTTTCTCTTTGAAGACATGTGAAGGGCAAAAGAACAGTGAAGATTTTATGAATGGCCCTCTGAAAATTATTGAAGACTCGGTGCCGTCATTAGAGGTCAGGAACAACGTTCAAATATACATGGTCACTTACATTTCAGTAGTCTAATAGGTGTTAGTGTTCTATATTGCATATTTTGCAGTAGTGTTGGGAATTGGTTAAAATCTCACAATTGATGACTGGTTCATTACAACCGATCAATCATCGAAAGAAAATGGTTAGCAAGATTTATCAAATTCTCCTGGTTATGTTTGTTAATGCACAAAAAATACAAAAACATGTAGTTCTTTTGGGTTTTGCAAAATGCACAAAATGCATTTACAAATTTCACATCTTTAAAGGATGACTATAATGTTAGGAGCATAAATTTCCTGGAATCTTTAAGATAAATTCAATCATGACTTGGAATGAGCTTGTAGTACTTATGAAATGTAACAGACAAAACCAACCTTTCGAAAAATGTTGTTAATGCAAACAAGTGTTCCAAAATTGTTTGTGTTCGATTATGAGAAAACATGATCGATTGCTTAGTCGTTTAGTCATTGCGACCAATCTTCGATTATTTCAAATAATCGGACCACCACTAATACTAAGTTTTACTCATATTTATGTACGTCGTATATGAGTGTCACGTTACCTTCATTCCTCGCTTCAGCTCCTGTCCCGACATTCCAGCTCCCTGCTCAGAGGTCAACTTACACTCTTCCGGTCCCAGCCCCCATATCCTTGTGGGCGCCATAGTGGGAGGTCCTGGTAATGATGACTCCTACAAGGACAACAGGGAGGACTACGTCCACAACGAGGTGGCCTGCGACTACAACTCAGGGTTCCAGTCTGCTTTAGCTGGTAAGTCTCAGGTGTTTTAGTGTAGCCAGGGTTCCTCAACATCATGAAAGTGCAATTTGTCCACTTATTATTTTCGTGTTATGATCTAGTAGACATAGCAATAACTGCAATCGGTACCGATAATTAGAATCAGTTATTATGAGTAATTAGGTATTTAACTAATTAAAACATTCTGTTTCAGGTCTCACCCATCTTGTAAAAGCTAAGGAGTTGCCAGCCGTTCCTGCACCAAGGTGTCATGGTTGAGACATAACGTGTTTGTATATTTAAATATGAAATAAAATACTGAAAGGCATTGAATTAGTTTATATTGTTAGTAGCTTTTGTGAAAGTGTGAATATGTTTTATAATAAGTCTTGAAAAATCTTGGTGTCTAGGGTCAACTCGTCTAGTAGCAAGCATAAAACAATACATAAAAAGAAAGTGAAAAGTGAAAAGAAAGAACACACAGTCTAGACTTTCAACACAAACAAATTATATTAGACGTAAAGGGGAAAATAGTTGTATGAACGGATCTCTAAAAATCAGCAATGACTCCAGGTGTTAGCGTATTCAGGGTAGGCACGTCCTGAGCTGCCGGTAATATCCGTTACTCACAAAGCTTGCCTAAAAATGGTATTTATTGCATGACGTGACAGATTCCCACCATGCGACGGTGGCCTATGCGTCTGATGCTGATGTTCCTTGGTAACTCCAGAGAAGCGCCATCGATTGTCCTTTCAGATAACGGTCATATGCTCGAAATGGATATAGGAGTTAGGTTAGTTTTACGCCGCTTGTTGCAATATTACAGTAAGATCATACTAGAAGTGGGCTTCACACATTGTACCCATGTGGGGATTCGAACCCGGGTCTTATGTTGACGAGCGAACGCTTTAACCACAAGGCCGCAAAGGATACGCTTCTGTTATCTTTCAGCATCACATATGCTATACACCTTCGTGGTTGTGCCGTTTTTTTAATTCTAAGGGGTTATAGTTAGTGCTATCTTCACTTTCTGTATCATACGATCTAGCAATGTGTTTTGAATTTAAGCAAAAGTGTCACTAAAGGCTGTATTATTGCTTAGACGACATATGATTTCGTAAATGGTTGAACGTTCTTCAGATCATGGCTTCGCTTCGTCAGTAAATGTACACTTAGGTTCCAATATGTCGACTTTCAGAAATATTCCTTCAGTAAATATATGGCTATGTTCCTTCAGTTAATATATGGCTAAGTTCCTTCTGTAAATATATGGCTATGTTCTTTCGGTAAATATATGGCTATGTTCCTTGTGTTAATATAATGCTATGTTCCTTCGATAAATATATGGCTATGTTCCTTCGGTAAATATATGGCTATGTTCCTTCAGTAAATATAGGGCTATGTTCTTTCAATAAATATATGGCTATGAAACTTCGGTTAATATATGGCTATGTTCTTTCAGTAAATATATGGCTATGTTCCTTCAGTAAATATATGGCTATGTTCCTTCGGTAAATATATGGCTATTTTCCTTCGATAAATACATGGCTATGTTCTTTCAGTAAATATATGGCTATGTTCTTTCGGTAAATATATGGCTATGTTCCTCCAGTAAATATATGGCTATGTTCCTTCAGTAAATATATGGCTATGTTCTTTCAGTAAATATATGGCTATGTTCCTTCGATAAATATATGGCTATGTTCCTTCAGTAAATATGTGGCTATGTTCCTTCGGTATATATATGGCTATGTTCCTTCGATAAATATATGGCTATGTTCCTTCGGTAAGTATATGGCTATGTCCCTTCAGTGAATGTATTGCTACAATATTTCAGTAAGTATATAACTATATTGATTCAGGTGGTGTATGGCTACATTCCTAATCAACCAATCATTTAGTGCAATTGCTATTTGAATAATAATCAATTAAAAAAATAGAAATATAAGACGAAAAACTGAAAAATGTAGTACCCTTGAATGTATTTGCCTTGATGTCCTGTGTAATATATGTCGGTTCTTATCTTTCTGTTTTCATTTGCTCGCAGTGACATTGGTGATTGTAATAGGCGTATGAAGCATGAAACCACCACCAAACATCAATACAAATAATATACGAACGAACAATAGACATTGCAAATATCATGAGTGATTTCAGTGACATCCGTATCGGTATGTTAAATGGTGAACAGCTTGTGACTACATTATGACATGAATTGGAAGACATTTAATAATTTCGAGAACATTAAAACTGAGCTCACCTCTCAACATACACATTTGGTTGTAAATTATATGTATAAATGCATCTCTTTGTTAGACTGCAACAAAACCTCTCGTTAATCAAAATCAGTGAAAGCAGTTGTTATTGGATTGTCTGGGCCAGAATCGACTGCTTACATCTTGTGGTTGACCCATTCCTTTGTACAGCGTTAGACACATACACGATTTGTTTTGATATTCAAATTGTGTGAGTGGCGAACATACGATTATCACATTAATCTGTATGCAATGCTCTATCTATCTCTGTATGTAATGCTCGTCACTATTTATCTCTGTATGTAATGCTCGTCACTATATATTGCTGTGTGTAACGCTCGTCACTATTTATCTCAGTAAGTAATGCTCGGCACCATTTATCTCAGTAAGTAATGCTCGTCACTATTTTTCTTAGGATGTAATGCTCGTCATTATTTATCTCTCTATGTAATGCTCGGCACTATCTATCTCCGTGTGTAATGCTCGGCACTATTTATCTCTTTATGTTATGGTCGTCACTATTTATCTGAGGATGTAATGCTCGTCACTATTTATCTCTTTATGTTATGGTCGTCACTATTTATCTTAGGATGTAATGCTCGGCACTATTTATCTTAGGATGTAATGTTCGTAACTATCTATCTTCGTGTGTAATGCTCGGCACTATTGATCTGTGTCTGCAATGCTCGTCTCTATTTATCTCTTTATGTAAGGCACGTCAGTAATTTATCTCTTTATGTAATGCTCGTCACTATTTATCTCTGTGTGTAACGTTCGGCACTATTTATCTCAGTAAGTAATGCTCGGCATCATCTATCTCAGTAAGTAATGCTGGTCACTATTTATCTTAGGATGTAATGCTCGTCACTATCTATCTTAGGATGTAATGCTCGTCACTATCTATCTCCGTGTGTAATGCTCGTCACTATTGATCTGTGTGTGTAATGCTCGTCACTATTTATCTTAGGATGTAATGCTCGTCACTATTTATCTCTCTATGTAATGCTCGTCACTATCTATCTCCGTGTGTAATATAAATCACTATTGATCTGTGTGTGTAATGCTCGTCACTATTTATCTTAGGATGTAATGCTCGTCACTATTTATCTCTCTATGTAATGCTCGTCACTATTTATCTCCGTGTGTAATGCTCGTCACTATTGATCTGTGTGTGTAATGCTCGTCACTATTTATCTTAGGATGTAATGCTCGTCACTCTTTAAATCTTTATGTAAGGCACGTCAGTAATTTATCTCTTTATTTAATGCTCGTCACTATTTATCTCTCTATGTAATGCTCGGCACTATTTATCTTGGGATGTAATGCTCGG